TTTCCCTTTGTGATATGGAACCTTGTAGTACAATTTCATAAAGATCCATACACTTACACACAAGTTATTGTCATGGAACTAGAAAAATGCTTGTTTTTTGCCCCTTTTTGGCCCCTAATTCCTAAAATTTTGAGACAATTACCCCCAAAATCAATTCCAGCCTTCCCTTTGTGGTATAGTACTTTGCAGTACAATTTCAGAGAGATCCATACACTTGAACACAAGTTATTGTCTGGAAACTAGAAAAATGCTTATTTTTGGCCCCTTATTCCTAAATGTTTTGGGCAATTACCCCCAAACTCAATTCCAGCTTTCCCTTTGTGATATGGAACCTTGTAGTACAATTTCAGAAAGATCCATACACTTACACACAAGTTATTACCATGAAACTAGAAAAATGCTTGTTTTTTGCCCCTTTTTTGGCCCCTAATTCCTAAAATTTTGAGGCAATTACCCCCAAAATCAATCCCAGCATTCCCTTTGTGATATGGAACCTTGTGGTACAATGTCACAGAGATCCATACACTAACAAATTTTTTGAACCCCCTTATGATTCATCACCCCCAAACTCAATCCCAGCCTTCCCTTTGTGGTATGGTACCTTGCAGTACAATTTCAGAGAGATCCATACACTTGAACACAAGTTATTGTCTGGAAACTAGAAAAATGCTTGTTTTTAGGTCCCTTTTTGGCCCCAAATTCCTAAACGTTTAGGGCAATTACCCCCAAACTCAAATCCAGCTTTCCCTTTGTGATATGGAACCTTGTAGTACAATTTCATAAAGATCCATACACTTACACACAAGTTATTGTCATGGAACTAGAAAAATGCTTGTTTTTTGCCCCTTTTTGGCCCCTAATTCCTAAAATTTTGAGACAATTACCCCCAAACTCAATCCCAGCCTTCCCTTTGTGGTATAGTACTTTGCAGTACAATTTCAGAGAGATCCATACACTTGAACACAAGTTATTGTCTGGAAACTAGAAAAATGCTTATTTTTGGCCCCTTATTCCTAAATGTTTTGGGCAATTACCCCCAAACTCAATTCCAGCTTTCCCTTTGTGATATGGAACCTTGTAGTACAATTTCAGAAAGATCCATACACTTACACACAAGTTATTACCATGAAACTAGAAAAATGCTTGTTTTTTGCCCCTTTTTTGGCCCCTAATTCCTAAAATTTTGAGGCAATTACCCCCAAAATCAATCCCAGCATTCCCTTTGTGATATGGAACCTTGTGGTACAATGTCACAGAGATCCATACACTAACACACAAGTTATGTCTGGAAGTTACAAAAATGCTTATTTTTGGCCCCTAATTCCTTAACTGTTGGTACCATAACCCCCAAAATCAATCCCAACCTTCCTTTTGTGGTATTGAACCTTATGGTAAAATTTCATAGAGATCCATTCACTTAAACTAAAGTTAGAGTGCGAAAACCAATGTGTCTTCGGACAACGAAGACGTCGCCAACGTCATACCAATATACGACCACAAAATTTTTTTGTGGTCGTATAAAAATCGTTGTTAGACTGTAGTGCTACCTTAAAGAATTTTTAAAGGATAAACAAAAAGAGGCTGTCAGAGTGACAGCAAACCGGATTTTCCTGCAGATTGTCGAACCCTGAACAGTTGAGCAAGTATGGACACTTAGTACATTTAAGCTTAAAACAGCTCTGAATTTGGATTGTGATTGAATATTTGACTCAGCATAGGTTTGTGACACAAAATGAATGTGGTTTAAGAACTGAAATACTTGAAGTTGGACATTTAAATACCTATCATGGTCCAATATAAAAAATCTAAGTACATATTAGAGGGGCCTGATGGGGGGGGGGGGGGTCTCATCACGATTCACGAGTTGATTTTTTTGTCAATCACGATTCACAGAAAATAAATTTCCATGATCACGGATCACGAAAATATAAAAAAAAAAAAATCTGTAGAAAAACGGATCACAATAGCGAAAATGCGCCGATCACAAGAAGGAAAATAACCCGTCAGGCCCCTCATATTAGAATCAGCATATCAAAGAACCCCAAGAATTCAATTTTTGATGAAACCAGACAAAAGTTTAATATAAGACCCTTTGGACCTCAATGTGGACCAATTTGATAAAGGAGTCCACAATCCAAAATCTCTCAATACATGGTTAGATTCAGCATTTCAAAGAACCCCATAAATAAGTTTAATTTTGGACCCTGATTTGGACCAACTTGAAAACTGGGCCCAAAAATCTAATATTTAAATACAGGTTTAGATTCAGCATTTGAAAGAACCCTATATATATTTAATTTTAATATGTTGAAATGAAACACAGGTTGGGGGTGGGGTGACCCCAGGGGACTCGCCTTTTATTTCATAAGATTTGTTTTATTGTCCCATACAACAATATATATGGTTTCTGGGTGGGGATTTTGACCGTTTACAAGTTTTCAAAAAGAAAAGGGGTGGGGGTGACCCCCATGGACTTCCCCTATATTTCATTTGATTTGTGTTATTGTCCCATACAAGAATATATGGTTTAGGGGTGGGGATCTCGACCGTTTACAAGTTCTTAAACAGGAGGGGGGTAGGGATGACCCCAGGGGACTCACGTTATGTTTCATTTGATTTGTTTTATTGTCCCATACAAGAAGATATATGGTTTCGGGATGGGGATCTTAACAGTTTACAAATTTTCAAAAAGAAGGGGGTGGGGGTGAACCCGGGGACTCCCCAAATATTTCATTTGATTTGTTTTTTTGTCCCATACAAGAATATATATGGTTTAGGGGTGGGGATCTCAACCATTTACAAGATAAAAGCACATTCTCAAATTGAAGGGGGGTGGGGTAAGAATATATATGTTTTAGGGAGACTTAATTATCTACAAAATGTCTAATAATGAACAGTAAATTTCAAATTTCATTTATACAGTCCTTCTAGTAAATTTCAAACTTTATATATACAGTCCTACAGATCTTATCAGGAAACAGAAAATTTTCAAATAAATCTGTCACTCCAATGATATTATATTCTAAGATATAACCCAGATCTAATAAATAATTAATAATGTAATTAACTTCAAAATGTCTAATAATATAGCTTATAATCATTACCACTTAGGAAATAAATCTGTCACTCCAATTTTTATTGTGAGATAAGACATTATGCTTGGTCATAAAAAAGATAACAAGAGTAAAATATTTAAAAATTCCACTTTTGGATATTAAAAATGGCGATAACTCACAAAGGAGATATACTAAAATCTTGAAAATTGAACTAGACCTTCATTTAGTCCGAGGAAACAACATATTTAAATTTGAAAAAAAATTGTTAAAGCGTTTTCATGATATTGTGCTCACACTGTTTGGCAGCCGCCCGCCGTACATCACCATTTTAATAACCGATATTTCCTTCCAAAATCCGGTTAAAAATGCGATATTTTTTTATTTCAGGAAAAGCTGCATACAGATATATGTATCGGATATCGGAATGTCAGTTCATATTACTGCAATACTCACCCAGTTGCATTATTCAAATAAATAAAGATCTCATAATAATTTGAGAATTAACAGGAAGTCTTCTAGATGGCAACATGTAGTCTTCAATTATAAGCTGGTGTTAAACATATATATTGAGCTTTGAATTGTCCTAAGTGTATAAAAATTGTGAAAAAAAATTAATCCGAAACTATCTGCAATCAACAACTTTATACAAATATCAAAAAGTGTAAATATATGACATAAGGTGACCACTGATCAGGTTCCTGACTTTAGACAGACACATGAATATGTGGCAGATTAGTACAAGATTGCTCAGGCTACTGAATGCCTTTTTAGGAATGGTTGGGTCAGTGTGACATAGTGAGTGCAATCCATTTAGAAAACATGGAAATTGCTGACCAAGACTTGGGGCGGCAAGTTTCTTTCTTGAAGTCGTAAAAGATCCATTTCCAGGTAGATAAATAATACCTCATTCAATTCCTTATTCATTTTACTCCACAAATATATGTAAATTGAGATCAAGGTCAGGTAGACTTGTACATCTTACAATCATTCCCTAAACAGTATCACTGAATAAAGTTAACTTGTTGCTATAGTCGTGGAAACTTAAAGAGTTGACCGATAAATCATGAAAATGATGTTCAGATCTTGGACAGAATGTATACAATATCTATATACACCAAAAACATAATCGAATCTAAGAAAAGTACTCAACCACAGAAACTTAATGTTGATCACTAAGGGAGCTACCATTTGATTTTTATGGGGGGGCTAGGATGAAAAATTTTGTCCTGCCTATTTATTTTTTCCTCTATTCGGTCCTGCATTTTTATTTTTCACTCTATTCGGTCCTGCCTTTTTTTTTTTTAGTTTATCCTGAATTTTTTTTACATAAATTGTCATCCTGCCTTTTTTTTTTGCAAATAATCTCATCCTGCCTTTTTTTTTTACTCCAAACTCCTGTCCTGCCTATTTTTTTCAAATTTCATCCTAGCCCCCCATAAAAATCAAATGGTAGCTCCCTAATCCATGAATTGAGGTCATCATCAGGTGAACCCTCTCTTATAAACATGTATATCTAACAGTCATTGATGACTTTACATTCCAAATATACCTTACTCATAATAAGTGAGAAAATCATACATTTGTACCATAAAAACAGCTTTTTTGGGCAGTCACTTAACCATGAAAAGAATGACCAATGTAGTAAACATCTTAATCGGCTGAAACTTTAATTGACTGATGACACAGATTGTTCATGTGATTACTGAGATATGTATGTCTCGGTTATGATTTTGCCATAAAATACATATATGGATCATGATTTTCACAAGACTTCAACATATGGAAGGGGTTGGTTTAAAACCCTATGTTGTAGACAAGTATAACCTGGTCATAGATGTTGAAAGAATTGTGTCAAGTAACCAAGATACACTGCCGTTTTTATAGAACCAATACCTAATGATAAACTTGATACATACCCAGCAAAAAAATTTATGAAACAATATAAAAAGTTGCCAAAAATGCATTTATTTCTCATAAAATATCACAATTAAATATGTAAAGTTAATAAAATCAACAAAAGTATATCAACATTCAATAATAAAATAAATAATTCTGTAATTCCCAACAGTTTTAAAACAGCAGTAAACACCTTTATTATATGGGAAAGGAACGAAATAAATATTTTTTAAATTATCGGTAAGCACATCCTGACAGCATACTATAGGTGATGTATCATTCTCATACATTTTCAAACTAAATTGGTTTTTAAAGCACATTTGAGCTGAAATAAGATAAAAAAAATTAAAAGCCAAACTGCAGAATTTTTATTCAAAATATTGTTTTGGGATTTTATTCAGAGAAATAGTCAAAATATTTGATTGGAAACTTGAATTTCAATTCCATTGTGTTTCAACTTGCTTTTTCTTAATTTCAAAAGTTATAGAAATAAAATGATTGTTTTCTGTACCTAAAAATTAAAGAAAAAGGAAATCCTCTTTTCCCATTAAGAAGATGGTTTTCAAGCTTCCTGGACCAAGTTAAAAATAATATAGTTAATTTCCAATATGTTGCTTAAAAAAGAGCAGTAAAGTGCCATATCTAGTTTAGAATTTAACAAACATGTCTGTCATATATCTTAAATATCCAGGTAGGTACTTCATAATGAAACCAAATATTTATACCATTTTTACTCAAAGAAATGAAAGTACAGTTCAAATATTTAAACTTTGTATCTGCTAATAAGTTAAAAAGTCAAGAATATGATTATTTTAAAATAACAAATCCAAAAACATCAAACGATTTTGCAATTAATGCCAATACGTGTGGAATGTCTGTGTAGATAACACCATCACAAAGTTTGTATTGAAACAACAACAAAAACTATCGATGTTTTCCATCAAGTCCATTAATATATCATAGGCACAGGGACAAGGCAGTTATTATCACAGACAGTCCTGTTAAGATCTCTGAAATAAAAAAATACAATACAATTACAGCTGTTCCAGAATTAAACCCATGGGGGCCATTGGGGGCATGTTTATAAGACCCAAACCAATATCTTCATTCTCGGTTGCTTTCTCGATTACGGAAATAAACGAAGAAATCGAAAGTTGTGATGAATTCTTAGGAAACAGCAATCGGCAAACCTCGGCAGATTCCGTTACCCTACATCTGCATATGTGTGCCGATTGATAGATTGATGGATTTGTGCGAGACATCATTAATTCTATAGAAAAACACATTGACGATGGAAATTCGTACCATATTAATTGTATAAATGCCCCATGTTTACTGTTTTATTTTTCGGAAGAAATTGCACTATATGTAATATATATAGCAAGTTGTGATGATATAATTACTGTTTACTCCAGTGACACACATTTCATGCATATTCAAGACGATTGTAAAATGATTGTTCTGATAAAAATTAAAGATCAAAGTGATTTGAAATAAATGTAGAAATTATCAAGCTTCGCTCAAATCCAGATAATTGGTTGGTATACGGATGTTTCAGCTGAGCCCTGATGTGTTGGAATTTTTAAAGTGCTGCAACTGTTCAATAATATTAACTAGTATCATCTGGACAGATAATGATAAAATTTTATGGGACAGAGATGCTTTAGCTATTCCATAACATTTTATAAGTCTCATTTTTTTCTCAAATTGATAAATACAGGTCAAATCATAAGTCATGATTGGCACATTCTTAAATGACAAATAGAAATACTGACACTGGCTGCATATTATCGGATAAAATTCGTTCAAATACGAATATTTTAGCAGTTTTGAATTTCACAAATGTCAAAAAATTTAAACCCACTTATATATATATGATTTTTTTTATTAAAAACGAGGTTCGTCTTTTTTTTTAACTATATTTGTTATGTATAATTTCTGTGATATTAAGTCCTTGATCGATTAATTTTCGCATTTAAAACTGAAAATTTCTACTTTCCAGGGTAATCCAGGTCCATTGCTATATACATTAATCGGGTCGTCACAGTGTATATATTTATTAAGAAAATTTTCGTGACCCGGCGGTAAAGGGAACACACCCTTTTGACAGTTTCAACTTAGCCCCTGAAGAAATAAAATAATGTCACTCACTATTTTGAATCGTTGTAGAATAATTAATTCTGGCCCGATTTTCATTTTTTATGCATCAGTGGATTTGTTTAAATAAGTTGTTCATGAATAAATGTCAACCTACACGATTGAAATAAGTAAAGGTGTTTTCCCACAGGGTGATGTTAATCTGTCTGGATAAAAACCATGTGATTGATAAGAAGTATCTCTGGTCAATTTATGACAGTGGCATCGCAGATAGTCACAAAAGAAATTACAGACAGCGTACTAATAAAACAGTTTCCATATCTTTTCTACAGTGCTACCCGGGTTATAAATAAGTGCTAATTAATCGTTGTAGTTCCTGTCAATATAATACTTCCATGGTATGATAATGTTTGTAGCAATTGGCAAATGTGATAATTGCTTTCTAACTGTTCCATATTTAATGTCTAAGTATTAGGGACAATTTACTTTTAAAAAAATATCCCTCTAAGTATTAAAAGCTTCCATGGTTTCACAATAATGCTTTTCAGATAGTCAAGTACCAGAGAAAATTTGGTTGGACAAGTAAACGTAAACTGAACCATGCATGGAACAAGTGAAATTGATCAAGTTTTTAACTACTAAAATATCAAAGGGTAAACCTCCAATAAGATTAAGTGTAGAAATATCTGGTAAAGTAATATATATATACTGCATATTCAGAAATTATTGTGAGGTTTTTATTAATGCGAATAATGTGACTCGATGAGTATAACTACAATAAAAACTGGCATTCCCATATCTGATACATATATCTAAAGCAGATATTCCTCCAATCCCATTAATTAATCTCGCATTTTTGTCTATCCTTAAAAAAATGCAATGATAAATGCATTTAAAGTATTAAAAAAAGAGTGAATAATTTTACTAATCCTGCTTACATTTTTGGTCCCTAAATATTTATATTTCTTAATTTACCTTGGGTAACAAAATCTGTTGATGTTTCCATTAATCTCCACCTTCTGAAACAAAATAAGATATTTTCATCAAAACTGGACCATAACTGTCATCATCAATGATATACATGAACAATTAAGTGCATAACATTCATTTTTCTTTGGAGTCACAATTTCATTTTCATATTTATATTTATACAAATATTGATTTCAGTTTTTTGCATCTTATTTTATTTTTTTGCTCTTTTTCATACAAAATTCTTGCATAATCAAATTTAATTTAATCTCCCTCCAACACTCCCTCTAAAAAAATAACACAAAACAACAACATATTTCAATACTGTTTCAACTGACAGTATATTTCAAGTATATTCATTTAGGTTGTAACATTTCCCAAGCATTTATACATCTCTGGCTTTTAAATGTTTGGGTTTGAGCATGTCTAATGAAGGTATTTAAAATCCCTAAAAGAGGGGGGGGGGGGGGTTGGACCTTTATTCAGAATCCGGGATCAGGTGTTTTTAAGCTAGGGATTTCAGGATCCGGGAATTCTTTTTTCGAATTTCGGGATATGGGGATTTAAATTTTTAGCTCACCTGGCCGGAAGGATCAAGTGAGCTTTTCTCATCACTTGGCGTCCGTCGTCGTTAACTTTTTACATTTTGAACTGCTTCTAGAGAACCACTGAATGGAATGAAACCAAACTTGGCATGAATGTTCCTTATGAGGTGCGGACCAAGTGTTGTTACTTTGTAGCCGATCCATCATCCAAGATGGCCACCAGCGTGGGACTTAGTTTAACATAGGACCCTATGGGAAATGCATACAAATGTCTTCTTTTAGAGAACCAGTGAATGGAATTAAACCAAACATGGCATGAATGTTCCTTATGAGGTGCTGACCAAGTGTTGTTACTTTGCAGTCGGTCCATCATCCAAGATGGCCGCAAGCTGGGGACTTAGTTTAACATAGGACCCTATGGGAAATACATACAAATGTCTTCTTTTAGAGAACCACTGAATGGAATGAAACAAAACATGGCATGAATGTTCCTTATGAGGTGCTGACCAAGTGTTGTTACTTTGCAGTCGGTCCATCATCCAAGATGGCCGCCAGCTGGGGACTTAATTTAACATAGGACCCTATGGGAAATACATACAAATGTCTTCTTTTAGAGAACCACTGAATGGAATGAAACAAAACATGGCATGAATGTTCCTTATGAGGTGCGGACCAAGTGTTGTTACTTTGCAGTCGGTCCATCATCCAAGATGGCCAACAGCAGGGGACTTAGTTTAACATAGGACCCTATGGGAAATACATACAAATGTCTTCTTTTAGAGAACCAGTGAATGGAATGAAACCAAACATGGCATGAATTTTCCTTATGAGGTGCTGACCAAGCGTTGTTACTTTGCAGCCGATCCATCATCCAAGATGGCCGCCAGTGGGTGACTTAGTTTAACATAGGACCCTATGGCAAATACATACAAATGTCTTCTTTTAGAGAACCACTGAATGGAAAGAAACCAAACATGGCATGAATGTTCCTTATGAGGTGCTGACTAAGTGTTGTTACTTTGAAGCTGATCCTTCATCCATGATGGCTGCCAGCGGGGGGACTTCCTTTAACATAAGACCATATTGGAAATATATACAAATGCTTCTTCTAGAGGTGCACTGAACGGAATGAAACCAAACATGGCATGAATGTTTCTTATGAGGTGCGGACCAAGTGTTGTTACTTTGAAGTGGATCCATAATCCAAGATGGCTGCCTGCAGGGGACTTAGTTTAACATAAGACCCTATGGGAAATACATACAAATGTCTTCTTTTAGAGAACCACTGAATGGAATGAAACCAAACATGGTATGAATGTTCCTTATGAGGTGCTGACCAAGCGTTGTTACTTTGAAGCCGATCCATCATACAAGATGGCTGCTATCGAGGGACTTATTTTAACATAGGACCCTATGGAAAATACATACAAATGTCTTCTTTTAGAGAACCACTGAATGGAATGAAACCAAACATGGCATGAATGTTCCTTATGAGGTGCTGACCAAGTGTTGTTACTTTGAAGCCGATCCATCATCCAAGATGGCTGCCTGCGGAGGGACTTAGTTTAACATAGGACCCTAAGGGAAATACATACAAATGTCTTCTTTTAGAGAACCACTGTATGGAATGAAACCAAACATGGCATGAACGTTCCTTATGAGGTGCTGACCAAGTGTTGTTACTTTGAAGCCGATTCATCATTCAAGATGGCCGCCAGCGGGGAACTTAGTTTAACATATAACCCTATGCAAAATATTTACAAATGTTTTCTTTTAGAGAACCACTGAATGGAATGAAACCAAACATGGCATGAATGTTCCTTATGAAGGGCTGACCAAGTGTTGTTACTTTGAAGCCGATCCATCATCCAAGATGGCCACCAGCTGGGGACAGTGTTTAACAAAGGACCCTACGGACAATACATACAAATGTCTTCTTTTACAGAACCACTGAATGGATTGAAACCAATCATGGCATGAATGTTCCTTATGAGGTGCTGACTAAGTGTTGTTACTTTGAAGCTGATCCTTCATCCATGATGGCTGCCAGCAAGGGTACTTCCTTTAACATAAGACCATATTGGAAATACATACAAATGCTTCTTCTAGAGGTGCACTGAATGGAATGAAACCAAACATGGCATAAATGTTTCTTATGAGGTGCTGATGAAGTGTTGCTACTTTGTTGCTGATTTACTGTTCAAGATGGCCACCAGGATTTTTTAATAACTTACAGGGCCAATATTAAACCAAATTTGGCCTCACTCATTATTAGGGTATCTGTTATGATTTTAATCTATTTTAACATGATTTCCAAAACCAAAGTAGAATCAGGTGAGCGACACAGGCTCTTGAGAGCCTCTAGTTATCTATCTTTACATGATTTCTAAAACCAAAGTAGAGTCAGGTGAGCAACACAGGCTCTTGAGAGCCTCTAGTTTTAAATTCAGGACCTCTGGATTCCATGTTTTTAAGCCCAGGATTAGGACCCCTCCTACCCTCCCCCCCCCTAAAAGCATTTGGGAATACAAAAAATTAAAGATGACCTCGGAATGCTAGATAAGTCTCTTAAGAAATATTTAATATATATCAATTCAGCAAAAGACAATAGTGTTCAACTAAAGTTATCTGTTTTTCAAAATTTGATATATCAGTCTGGCTAATTTTGAACATGATTAATTATGCTATTCAGGCAATTTATGTTTGTTCGCTGCAATTCACATCTTTATATACATGCAGTTTAACATCAAATTTTCCAACATGAGATGTTTTGTATTTAATAAACTATTCTAAAGATCATGGTAACTTCAAATAGTTGTACAACTGATTCCTTGCTTGCAAAGTCACATATAGAATATTTCTGTATCGACAAAGGCCTTTTTTCCAATCTAAATACCTAAACTTAGTTTTGAACGAATTTTCTTATCATTTACATACCAGGCTTTGCTTCTTCCTTTTTCTCCTCTTCTTTTGATTCTATGAGGGAGAGAAAAAAACATAAAATATTTAATGAACAAAAATTTTGGATCTGTGATGCATTAAAATGAAAACTGCAATATTCCTTTTAGAATATTGGAACTCCATGGATGATCAAGAAATTTAAAAAAACAAGAGGCTCTCAAGAGCCTGAATCGCTCACCTGAAATTTTTTGCTTAAATCTTTCATCAATGATTATTTTTGCTTTTCAATATATATTAATGAATGGCTTAAAACTTCCATTGAAATGTTCTTTGTATCTATCATATTTTCTTCAAAATCAAAGAAATGCATTTTACCCCTATGTTTCATTTTAGCCATAGTGGCTATGTTTCTTGACGTACAAGAAAATAAAATACAAAATTTATACTAGATACTCTGAAACTCACTCAGCCCAAGTTTGGCTGAAATTAATTCAGCAGTTTCAAAGGAGAAGATTTTTTAAAGTAAGCAAACTAAATGAACAAATTGTGAAAAATTGATTTTAAAGGGCAATAACTCCTTAAGGGGACAATTGACAATTTTGGTCATACAAACTTATTTGTAGATCTTACTTTGCTGAACATTTTTGCTGTTTACAGTTTATCATTATCATTAATAATATTCAAGATAATAACCAAAATCTGCAAGATTTCCTTCAAATTACCAATTAAGTGGCAGCAATCCAACAATGGGTTCTTAAGATTCATCTAAAAATTTCAGGGCTGACAGAGCTTGGCCTAATAATTTTTTTTACCTCCATCAGATTAGCTCTAAATGCTTTGGGTTTTGAGATATAAGCCAAAAATTGCATTTTACCCCTACGTTCTATTTTTAGCCATGGTGGCCATATTTTTTACGAAACAGAAAATAAAACACAAACTTTATTCTAGATACCCTTAGAATCATTCAGCTTAAGTTTGGTTGGAATTGGTTCAGTATTTTCAGAGAAGAAGATTTTTTAAAGTTAGAAAACATGATAAACAAATTGTGTAAAATTGTCCTTAAAGGGCAATAACTCCTTAAGGGGTCAATTGACAATTCTGATCATCCAAACTTATTTGTAGATCTTACCTTGATGAACATTTTTGGTGTTCACAGTTTATCTTTATCATAAATAATATTCAAGATAATAACCAAAAACTGCAAAATTTCCTTAAAATTACCAATTTAGTGGCAGCAACCCAACAATGGGTAATCAGATTCAACTGAAAATTTCAGGGCTGATCGAACTTCACCTAATGAACACTTTAACCACGAGTCAGATTTGCTCTAAATGCTTTGGTTTTTGAGATATAAGCCAAAAACTGCATTTTACCCCTATGTTCTATTTTTAGCCATGGCGGCCATGTTATTTGACGAAACAGTAAATAAAACACAAACTTTATTCTAAATACCCTAAGCATCATTCAGCTTAAGTTTGGTTGGAATTGGTTCAGTAGTTTCAGAGGAGAAGATGTTTGAAATAGTTTACACCAGACGGTCGACGACAGACGACGATGGAAAACGACGGATGCCAAGTGATGGCAAAAGCTCACAGTTCCTTCGGAACAGTGAGCTAAAATGGGTGGAGGGAATTAATTTTCTATGAATGTGGATGTAGATTTCATTGATTTTTATGTAAATTAAACCACATCTCAACCACTGTGGTTTGTAATAACACATTTGTCCCTACAGTCTCTTACTAAGTTGTCAGTGTTAATATTCTCATTGATCCATCTGGTCTCTTTGGTGCAACCAATAACCTCACCCTCACTGGTCTGTGTCCCCAATAAAGGCAGCCCAATACCTTTTGAACAGTGCAATTAGTGAATGTTATGTCATTCTGAAGACAACACGGACATATACTTATTTTTAGTGTTTTTTGCACTTACATTCACCAAAATCCTCTTTTAGAGGCTAAAGCAGAATTCTTGAAAAGAAATTTGTTTTAATGGATATTTGGTTGACTGTCCAAAATATGTTTCTATCGGTTCAATTCTTTGATTCTATTAAAAAATTCACTAGCTTCTTTCAGACATTTGGACTGACATGGTAACAACATGTCAGAAATATGAAATCTTTATCAAATGATAGGACTGACACTTTTTAAGAACTCTGTGACAGTGTGAGTCAGACCTATCCCAAAAAGTGCATCCCATAACCTCACCCTCAGTGGTTTGTGTGTCAGGTGCTTTTTCCTCTGACTGTGTTTCTTCTTTTTTCTCTTCACCTTTAAAATTGTACATAAACTTTAATTTATTAACAATTACTTGCACATATATGCAGTGATGACACAAATAATTCTGATGACTAAGTTTACTAAGACTAATTTAAATGTATAGGTCTTGACCAAACAAAAAAGTTGTTTGTAAGACTGGCTTGCTCCTGAAATTTCTTAATTGAACTTTCTAAAAAAGAAAACAGAAAACCCCTTTTTTCCTCAGTTTTTGCTCCTTTTTCTCTCTCTTAATCTGGCATTTTCAAACATAAAAATAATCTTTCATTACGAGAAACAGTCCTTAAATTAAAAATTCGTAAGGGTTCCGCGGAACCCAGTGTCTCGCCTACTTTTTGCTGTTAATCACAGGCTCAGCAAAAATGAGGAAAAAAATTAATAAAAATATTCCTCTCTATACTATCTTTTGATTGTAAGTAGCTTCTGTCCAAGTTTGGTAAAAATCCAGGATAGTTTATGAATCTAATAAATTTTTTAAAAACTTAAACTGCAGACTGTATGTAATGTTAACTGGAAGAAAAACTAAGTCCATTTATAAGTAAAATACGGAAAAAATGGAACAAAATTCCCTTCTAGATACTAGCTTTTAATCATAAACAAGCTTCTGTCTAAGTTTGGTACAAATCTAGGATAGTTTAAGAAAGTTGTTCAAATTTTAAAAACTTTAACCACAGAGTGAATGTAATGTTAACTGGCAGAAAAACTAAGTCCATTTATAAGTAAAATACGGAAAAAATGGATTTTTTTTTTTACAAAATTTACTTCTGGATACTAGCTTTTAATCATAAACAAGCTTCTGTCCATGTTTGGTACAAATCCAGGATAGTTTAAGAAAGTTGTTCAAATTTTAAAATCTTTAACCACAGAGTGAATGTAATGTTAACTGGCAGAAAAACTAAGTCCATTTATAAGTAAAATACGGAAAAAATGGATTTTTTTTTACAAAATTTACTTCTGGATACTATCTTATGATCATAAACAAGCTTCTTTCCAAGTTTGGTAGAAATCCAGGATAGTTTAAGAAAGTTATTAAAATTTCAAAAACTTTAACCACAGAGTGAATGTAATGTTTCCTGGCAGAAAAACACTAAGTCCATTTATAAGTAAAATACGGAAAAAATGGAATTTTTTTTTTACAAAATTTACTTTTGAATATTATCTTATGATCATAAACAAGCTTCTGTCCAAGTTTGGTAGAAATCCAGGATAGTTTAAGAAAGTTATTAAAATTTCAAAAACTTTAACCACAGAGTGAATATTTGTGGACGCCGCCGACGACGACGCCGACGGAATGTAGGATCGCTATGTCTCGCTTTTTCGACAAAAGTCGAAGGCTCGACAAAAAGGAATTTAAAAAAATTAAAAAAAATTATTCTATTTAAATTTTCCAGTTTAAAATATCATCATATAGATATATTAAGACATTTCCATATTCAAGGTTTATATAATTTGCAACCCTCACCCTGTGCAGTGCTTTCTTCCGTTTTTTGTTCTGTTTCTTCACCTATAGTGAAAGAAATTGTTACCAATAACATAATGATAGAACTTCAAAATTTAAAAAGAAAGTGTCATATAATTAACTGTTTATAAAGTATAGCAAATATACTTGAGTGTGTAAAAAGAGCAGTCAAGTTATGTTTGCTTGTTTGCTGTTCAGTAGTTGTCGTTTGTTGATGTGGTTCATAAGTGTTTCTCGTTTCTCGATTTTTATATAGATTAGACCGTTGGTTTTCCCGTTTGAATGGTTTTACACTAGTAATTTTTGGGGCCCTTTGTAGCTTACTGTTCGGTGTGAGCCAAGGCTCCGTGTTGAAGACCGTACTTTGACCTATAATGGTTTACTTTTTTAAATTGTGACTTGGATGGAGAGTTGTCTCATTGGCACTCATACCACATCTTCTTATATCTATTGTTTGCATAAGTGGACCATAAGCAAGCAACATTTTATTTTTGTATGGTTCATGTACATTCAGGTATGTTATTATATAAGGGATGACCCATTGAGCCTTTCTGGTAAGATCAATAGGGTATAATTATAGAGATAATTTTTGGCCAAGAAGTTAATCATCCTTTTTTTTCAATCAGATGCAGCTTGATACTTTTAATTGAATCAGCCATACACATTGATAAATGTTCAACTTTATTCAAAATTTTGTGAGAAAACAATTGCAACTCAAAAATCACACTAAAAACATTGGTATTAAAAAACAGAAAACCGTATATAAATCCTTACTTGGTTTTTCTTCCGTTTTACTTTCTTCTGAAAAATAATAAAACTAATATATGAAAATATAAGTAACACCAATATAAAAAGTTCATAAAAAACTAATTTTCAACTCAATCAACCTTTAAACTTTTTCATCTCTTGTTCTCTGATTGTTTGCCAGTACAGATAAGAAAAATTGGGACATATTATCTGGGAAGTTGAAATTTTAATGTGTAGTAAATATATTCAAATATGAAAACTCTCCTAGCAGGAGATATGAAAATTCTAAGAATAATTTTTTTTTGATTTTAGATTTTAAACATTTTCCCTCGTTGGAACACATAATAAAAATCACAATTATCAAGATCAAAATTTATACAAATTTGCTATCTAATTGTGTATATTACATAAGACTTATTCTGATGGATCCAAAAATTTAGATTTAATTCTAATTTGGATAAATTTTCCCTCAAGATTCTTTGGTAGTAAGATTACAGAATTTAGTAGATATTATGTAACTCCTGCACCTGGTTTTAATGGTTATCTGACGAGGCCTCATAATAAAACATACACTTTGTTGGAAGAAGAAGTACATATGTTAGCAGAACCATAATTATGATATTAAAGAAACCAAAACCAAAGCAGCCATAGTTTCTATTGCACTCAGGTCAGTACATAATTAAAACCTTCAACGTGGAAAGAATTCTAAAAATCTTTAAAAATTATAAAATAAGGAGGTGAGATATGATTGCCAATAAGACAACTTTCCATCAGAGACCAAATGATGTAGATGTAAGCATTTATATGTCACATTACAGCCTTTAACAATGAGCAAAACCCATATCATACAGTAAGCTATAAAAGGCCCTGATATATCAAAAATATAAAACAATTATAACAAAATCAACCACCTGATTTATGATTAAACCATAAAAAATGCAGAAAAAAACAAACAAATATGACAGAAAGCAACCAACAATAACCCATGAATACAGGCTCCTGACTTGGGAATTACACAAAAGGAATATGGCAGGGTTAAAACGGTAGATGAGTGCTCAACCCTACCTGAAAACAAAATTCAGATTATAATTTAGCTCATTAATTTATATATTTCATGTGTATCCTTGCCTAGTAATAGTAAATGCAGCAGTAAATACCAAAATTTTTTCTAAACAATTGAAAAAAGATGCTTCAAAAGATATCTAATGGGTTAAAGTTTTAATTGGTGGCTTTTTATCTCCATGATGCAGGAAAGAGTCATTCAATAGCAAATATTTCATGCACATTCAACAGGGGAAAAAATTTAACTGGTTCCACCAGATTATTTTTACAGGAGGGCAGACTAGGGGACAGGGTCAGAAATTTTGCCTTGAAATTTTTCATAAAAGGTCTCTTTTAAGAGGTTAAGAAAAGAATGATTTATCATTATTGTTTGTGAAATTAATAATTGATAAAAAAACCTTATGCAACCAATTTTCTTCCTTCACTGCAGTATGTGTATAAATTGTGTGTGTTTTCACATACACAGCAGTACATTTAACATTGACTTTGTGTGGAGATTCAACCCTGTTGGTGAAATTACCAACACCTCAAATATTTAGAAAACTGACACACCTCTCCAAATTTCATCAAGTGGTCTATAACCTGCAAAAATGTTTAGAACTTTGAACGAATAGTAAAAAAGAATCTGATGAAGGGTAAGGTATAATAATATTTTTCAACGACACTTCTTTCCTATCCCCATCTTCTGCTACAACGTGAGTTTCTTCCAACATTTGATGGCAAATAGCAAAAGGTTGAGGTTAGCATTAGTGACACAGAAAAAATCTTTGTTATATGCAAATGGAATTACAAAGCTGAAAGGAAAATGTTAGCCAAGAAATTTTGGTCAAATATATACAAGTTTTTTAGTGTAACTGAAATTCTGATATTATTCAATTGTTACTTATGATTATTTACAGAGCCCTTAACAATTTATAACAGAATGTTGTAAGGTTTATTGACAAAAGTAATCACAGCCATAATTTACAATCATGTCACAAAAAAAAGCTTCCAATGTTACATTTCCAAATTTTGATATAAATGTGTAATGTTGCTCTTCTTCTAATAAGTAACATGCTGTTCATACAGTGAACTGTAAATTACACATCAACTTGAAATGAAAAGATTTTTTCTTTAAATAATCAGAAGTTCAGTTACACATTATAGATGCTGGATAGTAATTAAACTAAGCACTTACGATTTCCTTCTTTTTTCATTGACACATGTTAAATTCCAAAAGTTGTATTACAGCATCATGAGCTTGAACTTTTGCTAAATAAATATTTGACTACTGACAACAGGGACAGTCTATACTAACTTTAGTATAGAAAGTCCTTGCTGACAATGAGCAATACTGTTAATTCAATTAACCGTTATACCAGTTCTGCCAACTTTTAATAATGCAAATGCGTGAGATTTGGCCAAAATCGTAAAGATCAAAGAGAAAAAACAATAGATCAAAGGAAAATGCCGCCAAATAAGCATGAAAATGCGTGAGTCTCACGCTAAATGCGTGAGACTTGGCAGCCCTGTTATACTTTGGCTAAATTTCTATCCAGCTACAACAGAATTCCTCACAGAAACAATTAGCAAGCAAGGTAACAGGAAAAAGGTTATTTTCTGGTAAGGAAAACATGTTATACAGGAGGTTTGACAAACCTTGCTGCTGTTCCTCAGGCTTAGCCTCAGTTTCAGACTGAGGCTGAGCCTCACTTTCAGAGGGCTTAGCCTCTGTTTCAGATGGCTTTGGTGAAGGGGCTTTAGTTTCTTCTTCTGTAAATCATATATTGTATATTCAATCTTTCTTATAATCCTTTACAATATTGGTACTTTTATGCACAATTTATTTTTATATTATAGTGTATTATACATGCCAATTTCTAATAATTTACCAATGAAAATCAGATAAAATTTACCTGGAGAAAAACCAAATGTTTTATAACTTGAACAGCTATTCATTTTATTTTTTTTTATGTCTTAACTAAAACTGAAACACATTTGGCCTGTAAAAGAGAAATATGTGATGATTGAAGCCTTTCTGCTCCAAATGTTCATAATTTTAACAGCCAATGAAACTCCAGCTTTCCAACTTTTGGAGTTGTGCATCATAAGGGAAAAAAACAGAGGTTTCCGAAATGTCTGAAAAAAACAGAACACAGAATGGAGCATTGTCGGATCCTCGTAAGTGAAATGGGACACAAGATCTGTTTCCAATTAGATTGTAATTTAAATGTATTCTTATTACCTGTTTTTTCTTCCTTTGGAGCTTCCTCTTGTTTTTCTGAAAAATGTTAGAAATTTCAAATTATTACATATAAATTGAAAGTTCTATGATTATTTGGTCCCAGGATATGAAAGTGATGAACACTATTTATATACAATGTCAAATTCAATCAAATAATGTTATCCAATTTTTTTTTTCGACAGCAATTCAATTACGCCACTTTGAGTTTTAGTACAATAATAACAAGAATATCATGGCAATTATGTCTAACTAGGAAACTTCACTTTTAAAAACATTAACAAAGCTGCAAAAATAAGATGTTTTACAATAAAGAGAAATCGCCATTGCTTTGATATCGTGACTGTATTCTAAGTCTCTTGAAGGTGTTTTTATGAATTAAGTGATAAGTTAATGATATAATAAAGAACCCAAAAGAGAAAAATTTCTTATTATTTTCCATGAAAGCTAGGGAGGAAAAATGAAATGAGGCAATTATAGAAAATTGGAAAATCTTTACAAATACACTGGTCCTAAGCTGGAACTACTGATATTTAAAAGCTGAAAACATATATTTTTTTCATTTTTCAACAGAAAAAATTTCCTGTAAAAAATAAAATGAACTATATAAAACAAATTGCTTGAAACTTCATTCCACACAATGTCTATCATTCTATCCAAACAGATACTCCACATTTTCTTGCAATAGTTCAAATGCTAAGAATTTTATCTTGAAGTACTAAAAGGACACCTATGCATCCATTAAAAGATATATGCAAAGTTACTATTACCTGAAGAAAGCATAGGATTTAAAAAAAATATTTTACAATTAGGCTATATTTATGTTGCATGCATTATACGTACACAGGAATATATTTATAAAACAAAAGTACAATTTGGCACTAATATATATTAGTATATAGACTAGCTTCAGTAGCTGGAACACAAATAGCAAACTCCAAAACTTACATATAGCTTCTGATCTAACATTTGTATTACATACTATTTTTTTTTTTGCAATATTCAAAAAGATTAAACTTTTTTGTGGTCATTTGCGTGTTCCAGCCATTGAAGTCTTTATAACATGTCATAAAAAAACCAGCATACCATTATATATATATATAAACACATTCAAATCTTCTTGGATCTGTTCAAATGCATTCAAATTGCTCATTTAGGCCCAAATGGAGAGAGAAAAAAACTTGGCAACTGTAGTTAGGAATTATAAACTCCTTAGCTAGAACTTAGGGAAAACTTAGATAATTTCAACTTGTTAGTTGAACAGTTCTATTTGAGAAATTCTGTCATCATTTGCTGTTATTTTTTTTGTTATTGCAATAAATTAAAAAAAAAAAATGAGATTTGGTAATATGCCACTGAGACAGCTATCTGTCAAAGACCAGAGGACAAAGATATGTATGCATCGGCACTAAACACATTTATTTAAAAACCAGTTGTTGGCATGACACGGGTTATGTTCTTCTCATATATGTTATGATGGTATGATACTAAACCCCTAACGGGAAGGGTTGTGCCTGATATTCATATGATGAAGACATAATCTTTCAATCAGTTTAATTGAAGTCTGGAGCTGGCATGTCAGTTAACTGCTAGTAGTCTGTTGTTATTTATGTATTATTGTCATTTTGTTTATTTTCTTTGGTTACATCTTCTGACATCAGACTCGGACTTCTCTTGAACTGAATTTTAATGTGCGTATTGTTATGCGTTTACTTTTCTACATTGGCTAGAGGTATAGGGGGAGGGTTGAGATCTCATAAACATGTTTAACCCCACCGCATTTTTGTGCCTGTCCCAAGTCAGGAGCCTCTAGCCTTTGTCAGTCTTGTATTATTTTTAATTTTAGTTTCTTGTGTACAATTTGGAGTTTAGTATGGCGTTCATTATCACTGAACTAGTATATATATTTGTTAAGGGGGCCAGCTGAAGGACGCCTCCGGGTGCGGGAATTTCTCGCTGCATTGAAGACCTGTTGGTGACCTTCTGCTGTTGTCTGTTCTATGGTCGGGTTGTTGTCTCTTTGACACATTCCCCATTTCCATTCTCAATTTTATTTGATCAGTTTCAAAAAGGTGAAGGAAAGAAGGAAAACAGTATATTCTAGTCATATCAATAATAAGGGAAACATGAATTTATGCAGGTGCGGACAAAAGCCCCATCTCCTTTTGACCAAAAATTGGAGTGTTTTTTTCAACACATTTTGTCCGTTTTTGACAGCCTTTATAGATAATTTTCTTTACTCTATCACTCTGTCCCTTTGTTCTGAGATTCCTGGATCTGCTGCATACGTATGATTTTATATATATAATTTTATATAAGTTTATTTTGAAATGGATTCACACAAAAATAGATTTAATGTTGATAGCTGCTATATTTAGACACTAAATATATATATATTATAGATCGTTTTTGTACACTATAGCTACAAAGTACATTGTCATTTAATCAAACATCGTCTTCTGTAAGCACCATATATTCTAGAAATTGGTTAAGTCTAAATAAATATAATGATGGAGGTCAAGGTCAACTAAAGGACAAGCGGTGCTGTTGTACCTTCTTTAATTATTTCACCAGATTGCTTAGTTTCTTTCTGTTTATTTAAATCAGATTTCTCTTGTTCAAGAGATTTTGATTGTTCCCCTCCTTTTTGAGATTTTGCTGATTTTTCTCGTTCTTTTTGAGATTTTGCGGACTTTTCCCTCTCTTTACTAGACTCTGCAGACTGCTCACGTTTTGTCATTGATTTTTCCGTCTGCTCTCCATTTTTGGCAGACTGTTCCTGGGCTTTCTGAGATTTTGCAGACTGTTCCCTTTCTTTCTGATTTTCAGAATCAGATAATATTTCTTTTTGTTTACCTAACATAAATAATTTAATTTTCAAAACATGTTACGATGTCCATCGTATATCTTTTTGTAGTAATGTCAAATTGTAATTTTAATTCAAAGTCCCGCAGTAGTAAAAAATATAACATAAATAATTTTTTTTCAATACATGTTACGATGTCCATCGTATATCCATGTTACGATGTCCATCGTATATCCATGTTACGATGTCCATCGTATATCTTTCTGTATGATGTCAAATTGTAATTTTATTTCAAAGTCCTGCAGAAGTAAAAAATATAACATAACTATTTTTTTTTCAATACATGTTACGATGTCCATTGTATATCTTTCTGTATAATGTCTGATTGTAATTTCAATTCAAAGTCCCGCAGTAGTAAAAAATAAGTGAAAATTATATTTATCAAATGAAACAGAAATGATGTTGTCTGCCATACATATTTTTGTCCCGACTGTTAATAAGATGCTTTAATTTCACATTAGTATTTAAATGTTCTTTTATAAAGACTTATAACATGGAATAGTTTTAGTAGATCAATTAATGCAGTATCCTACATATACCATAATTATTTTTTATTAAAAAGAAATTTACACCAATTAATAAATAAAAACAAGTATACAAGTACAATATAGACGACTACAAGATAGACAGATTAAGGTTATACACTACTGAGATTGTGCATGCTCGGTTTACCTTCTTGTTGTTCTTCTTTAGATTGTTCTTGTTTGGATTCTTCTGTAATCAACAGTTTAAGCTATGACTTTCATTGCTTTACACAAAGGGGAGTATATATATATAAAACACATGCTTATTATGGTAAACAAATGGTTATAAATGGACATACAGTTCATATTTTCACTAACAAAAATTGCATCCAAAGAAATTAGATTTTGCAAAGTGAGGGATAGTTTTCTATGAAGGGTGCCTAATTTTTACTTTATTAGTCTTATTTCAAACAGTATTTCTTTTGTAAAATGTATCCGTAAATAAAACTGAAACAAAAGGGATGTCTCTTTTTAAACAAGTAAAGATACATGTTTGTTTTGAGTATAATAGTTATTTTAGAATGCAGAAACAGCATCTAGCAGAGAAAAAAAATTCTAGAGAAAAATCCCAAGTCAAAGTGGACAGCAGTTCTTAAGCAGTTTATTAGCATTCACAGTGCATACTCGACAGCTGTTCTTTAGCAGTTCATTAGCATTCACAGTTGCCAAATTCAAGGCAATAGTTAATTTGCATAAAGGCATTCCAATAGCATTCCATAGCAGTTTCTTAGCAGTTTATTTAGCATTCACAGTTATTTAGCAGTTATTTTTGACGAAAAATTTAAATGAGATACTCAAAAACTGCTATCTTCTCTGAATATTCATGAGAACTGCTATAATAACAGCTATCAATAATGAATATTCATAGAAACTGCTAAGTTGTACATCCTAATATGGTTTTCTAAACTGCTAATAACTGCTATGGAATGCTATCAGATCTGTCAAAAGTTGGAATACAAAGGTACACATGAATATACTGTGTACAAGATATGAATGCAAAAATAAAATTCTAATATTTTACTGCAAGTCTTGTTGAAATTTCAAAAAGTTGTACCAACTTATATTTGTAATTTGAGCAGTAACTGCAATCAAATGACTCTATTTTAATCCAATAACAGACTTGTTAAGGGGTGTAAACATGCTTTGTGAGTACTGTACCTGGCCTTATACCCCTTATTAATTATGTCAGTGGCAGAATTATAGGAACAGTTAAGAATTATAATGCACTTTAAATATCAGTGCTTATAAAAAGCAACTTATTCAATAAGAGTGGTTATACTTAAGAGACTATTTATTACCTTGACTAAATGATTTTCAGATTAAAAGTTATTTTATTTTTATTATTATTTAATTACCAAATGTACTACTAATTTCTCTTCTACTGTATATATTTTGTGTGGACCAAAAGAAAACAGTTATCTCCTCTTTCTCTTTTGGAATTAAACAAAATAATTTTTAATATTACATGTAATATATTATGTTTCCACTTTCTGAAATAAACTTAAGTAACATATATATTAACTTCATTAAATGGATTGTTTGGTCAATATTAAACAATCAGATATATGTGACCTAGGTTTCCCTAATATTCCCTCCCCCTTTTTCAACTCTTGAATATGATTTATTTTTGTTTTTTTTTACAAAATTATATTAAAATATTCATATTTTTATTTTCAAATAACATCTTGCACTGTTAGTATATGCTAGTATTTTATTACAATCCTATCATTATCAGATATTCTATTTGAATAAACAACTATCCCCCCTTTTTTGGGGCTTTCTGTATTATTTCTGTTTTTCCCTACAAAGTTATGTCAGAAAATACACATGCATTATCTGTAACTTCAACTTACTGTACTGCAGGTGTGAGAAATTATTCCATTTAGCCCAAATTAAACTTTATAATTGACAAAAATACAGTTTTTCACTAGCAAGTATTTACACACAGCTTGGAGCCAAAATGCACATTTGAAAATGATCAAATAACCTTCAAATAAAGGTTTACTATCAAGCTGAAAACACAGCCAGATCCAAGCATTTTTATATCAAAGATTAAAACCAAAACTGCTATCAAACTGCTATTGAACTGCTGTCATAACTGTTGTCCAATTGACCATTTTTAAATTGACAACAGTTTAGAAGGTAGATCCAGACTGCTAAGATGAATGCTAAGATGAATGCTAAGAGGAATGCTAAGAAATGGTGAAATAAGGCAGTTTCTCAAACTGCTATTAGATGGAATGCTATGAACAGCTGAAAGACTGCTAAAAATATGAAGAACTGGTAAATAACAGCTAATAAACTGCTAATGATAGCAGTTCAGTTTGACTTGGGTTTAAGTCAAAAATCCAGAATTACTCGGAGAACTGAATTAGTTTATGGTGGGCCTTTACAAATTGCTACAGATCAAACAAAAAACTACAAAGAATTAAATAAGTATATATCTGCCGTAATTAACTGAACTTTAATAAAAAACTTTAACAAAAAGCCACTAAGACCTGAATTAGTCTAGCTATGATCTCCTCCAACTGAAGCTTTATCAAAATGCAAAAAAGAAAAGAACAAGTTGAACTGAGATATTGCTCACTAATGATACACAAGTTATAAGTCTTCAATAAACAGGATGTTGATTAGCAAAGGATTAAAAACTTATCACATGATACAAGTCTATAGTATGCTGTTTACACATTGCGACAGATTTACTGTAAATTCAGAAATGATTGGGAGCTTTTTATTAATGCGAATAATCAGATTGGGTGATGATCGCAATAATAAGAACTTGCATTCTGATATCTGATACATAAATTTGTATGCAGATTTTCCTGAAATTGCAATAATTAATCTTGCATTTTTGTCTTATTCTTCATAACCCCAATAATAAATGCATGCAATAATTTCTGAATTTACAGTAACAAAAAGCTACAAAGAATTGAAAAAGTCTATAGTCAGCTTTGTTAAACTAAAGTAAAAACTATATTGAATAAAAAGCAACAAAGAAATAAATTGTTTATAATTTGCCCTATGTTCTTAAGTTATAAAAGGCTATAACAAAGAGCTAAGACAAAGACTGAATTAGTCTAAAGTCAGCCCTATACAACTAAAATTAATGTTAAAATAAAGCTTTTAAAAGACTGAGTTAGTCTCTAAGGCGGTACTATACAACATGTACAACTAAAATTACTGCTATAACAAAAAGCTACAAAAACTGAAATAGTATTAACTGATAGTCTGTCTTTATATACAAATCAATAAGTACAATGAACGTCTAAGAAAAAAGCATTAGACTATAGTCTCCCATATTTAAGAGAGAAGCGAAAGATACCAAAGGAACTTTCAAACTCATAAGTCGAAAATAAACTGACAATGCCATGGCAAAAAAATGAAAAAAGACCAAAAGACAAACAACAGTACACAAAACACAACATAGAAAACTATAACTTTAACTACTGTTACATGTGTTATAAGCAGTAAATCATTAGAAATATTTTGTACCTGTAGAAGGCTCATCTGTTTTTTGTTCTGTAAAAAAATAATTCAGTTTTCAGCATATTGTGGAACATGTAATTAATTCATAATTTAAGCCAAAAGATAACAATTGAGTTGTATCAATAATATGTATCATAAAATGTACTTTAAATATTATTTTTAAGCATTGAGTAAGTCACATGAATTTGAAATGGGTTGTATCTGTTAGTCTAGTACAACAGAAGCAAAGGAGTTGTATCAAAAATATTTATTATAAAATGTACTTTAAATAGTATTTTTAAGCATTGAGTAAGTCACATGAATTTGAAATGGGTTGTATGTGTTAGTCTGGTACAACAGAAGCAATGGAGTTGTATCAAAAATATTTATCATAAAATGATCTTTCAATGGTATTTTTTAACATTAAATAAGTCATATGCAATTGAAATGGGTTGTATTGGTTAATCTGGTACAACAGAAACTAAATACTGTAACAATAAGCTATAAAGAACATATTTCGTCTTTAGTCTGTCCTTAATTTAAAATAGTAAAAATCTACAGTTAAAAGCTTCTAAGAACAAAAGCATAATGGTAAGATAGTCTTGCAAATCAAGTTAAAGCCATTACAAAAAGCCTCAAAAATTTATTTACTTTCTTAAGCCTGCCCTTTCCATCTAACTAAAGTTAAAGATATTAGAAAAAGCTACAAAAATAATTTGTTTCTAGTCTGCCCTTTACAACTAAAGATGAAACTAAAAAAAAAACCTGTATTACATCTTAAGTCTGCCTTATACAATGAAAATTAAAGATATAACTAAAAGTTACAGAGAATAAATTAGTCTATAGTCTGCCCTTTACAACTCAAGTTAAGGCTATACCAAAAACCAACAGAGACTGAATTAGTATACACCCATAGTCTGTCTTTAATACAACTAATTCAAGAAGATTAAACATGTACAAAGTCAACAGCCCTTCCATATACATCTTCTGTATATTTATTATTATTCATGGAGTACCAATTTTCTTGGATTTTGTGGGTTAAAGATGTACTAGGTCAGGTTCAGGAGTTTTTGTCAGATGTTCGGACTGCTTGGTTTTTTTCCTACGATAAAGGGTAAAATATTTTGCCCCATAACACCCATTTTTCTTTTCATATAAGACTTCAATAGCTCATAAAAGGTCATTTACCAAAATTTAAGCAGATTCTAGACTTCTTTCCTTTCGATTTGAGACCCAAATAATACCAATGCAAATATAAGGTAAAAGTCTGAGTCAGCCTTTTCCCACCATTTTTTTTAAAATTAAATATCTCAAAAAGGAGCTCCATAACCTATCAATATTTTTAGCTGATTTTGTTCCATAACTAATGCTCTTCTGAGTTATAGTATCAATTTTCTTCTGAGTTATAGTATCAATTTAAAATTCTAGATTTTTTTAATTTCACCTAAGTACATCCTTAAGATAGCCTTAAATTAAATTTTTAATAAATTTTCAAAAGGTTTGTAGCAAACTTTGGCAAAACCTAGAAATCATAATAAAAAAATATACAATTGTTCCTAAATCCACTGAAATTGGTACCCACGAAAACAAATGAATCCACAGTATTGGTTATATTGGCTATTTATGATATTAGATATATTTTGTACCTGTAGAAGGTTGTTCATCTGTTTTTTGTTCTGTAAAAATAATTTATTTGTCAGCATATTGTATAAAACATTTTTTGTAGTGTACATTGTCTAAACATTGTTATCAACCTAAAGCTAGAGACATGAGTTGAATATTCAGACAAAAGTATTTCAATGGTTTTTTACCTGTTTACCAGATATTAAGTAATGTAAATTTTAGAAAATTTTGTGTTGCTTTTCTTATTGCCAAAATTAAGACGGGATAGGCTTCGCAAAAGTATAAACTTGCATTATCAATTTATCTGAACACATTAAGATAAAATCATAACAAAAATCTACAAAAGCATTTATTTTTGATAGGAATATTGGTTTGAAGCATTTCCTGAAATCAAAATAATTAATCTCACATCTATGTCAATGTCTCAAAAACCATGCATGCAAAAATATGTGAATTTATTTTCAGTACTTTCTTTGCAACATATAACCAGGGCTGCCAAGTCTCACGCATTTAGCCTGAGACTCATGCATTTTCGTGCTTATTTGGTGGCATTTTCCTTTGATCTTTACGATTTTGGCCAAATCTCACGCATTTGCATTATTAAAAGTTGGCAGAACTGTATAGCACTGGATTCAAAAGTACCATTGAGAATCACACAGAGTACAACCTACTTAATATTGACTTTTTTATCAGACAAAGAACTATCAATGGTATTTTTAAGCATGGAGTAAGTTACATGCAACAGAAATTTAGTCTTAAATTTGTCATATACAATAGAGGTTAACGGTAACAAACATTTACATAGAAAAAATACTGTGTGTCCCTCAAATCATAAAAAGTGTTTTTTTATTAAAATTTCTGTGCTTACATTTCAAACATGAGTCAAGTTTTTAAATCTTTTACATTCTCAAAGTCATAAATATTAATCAACTTTAATTGCATAAAAATGCTTGTCCATCTGATTTTAGTTTTTCATTTTCATCATTGGAACAAATGACATTGGAACAATTGACATTGGAACAAATGACATTGAAACAAATGACATTGAAACAACTGACATTGGAACAATTGACATTGGAACAAATGACATTTAAACAAATAACATTGAAACAACTGACATTGGAACAATTGACATTGGAACAAATGACATTGAAACAAATGACAAATGACATTGGAACAAATGACATTGAAAAAACTGACATTGACACAAATGACACTGAAACAAATGACATTGAAACAAATGACTCGCATTTATAGAACAAATGACATTAGAACAATTGATATTGGAACAAATGACATTGAAACAGATGACATTGAAACAGATGACATTGGAACAAATGACATTGGTACAAATCAAATTGCAATGAATGATACCATTTATAATCAGCTAATGTCCAAAAATTTTATGGTTTGTACTTCATTTAAATCAAAAATATGATGTCAATAAACTTAAATGAAAAATATATTTCATGTTTAATTTTCATAATCTTTCAAGGAAAACAACTTTTTGATGTTATTGGGACACAAAGTATTAAGATAACAAATCATAACAAAAAGCAACAAAAACATGAAAAAGCTACAAAAAGCATTATCTACAATTTGCCCTATACAACTTAAGTTTAAAGCTAAAGCAAAAAACTAAAAAGATAATAGTTATTTTGTAAGAGTTTCCCCTTTACAAATAAAGTTAAAAGTTATAACAAATGCTATTCAGAACAAAAGACTAGTTATTTATGAGGGTCTAGATGGGGTTTGCAGAAAAGAGAATTAATGGGCCAAAGAAAATTGAAATAAAGAACAGAGAAAAATAGGGCAAAATAAAAATGATAAGGGAATTATTGGGTGCTAAAATATAAAGAATAGAGCATAATGGGGTGCTAAAATATAAACAATAGAGCATAACGGGATGCTAAATTATAAAGAATAGAGGAATATGACATAAAAGTTTAAAGAATACAGAAATGAAGGACCCCATCCAGACCATCTATTATAGGGATAATTTGTCAACCTAATATGAACTATTATGAACACTTAAAAATAAGAACATTAGTCTATTATATCCCATTTACAACAAGTTATAAGCTATAAATGATTAGATATATTTTGTACCTGTAGAAGGTTGTTCATCTGTTTTTTGTTCTGTAAAAATAATTTTATTAGTCAGCATATTGTATAAAACATTTTTTGTAGTGTACATTGTCTAAACATTGTTATCAACCTAAAGCTAGAGACCTGAGTTGAATATTCAGACAAAAGAATTTCAATGGTTTTTTTACCTGTTTACCAGATATTAAGTAATGTAAATTTTAGAAAATTTTGTGTTGCTTTTCTTATTGCCAAAATTAAGATGGGATAGGCTTCGCAAAAGTATAAACTTGCATTATCAATTTATCTGAACACATTAAGATAAAATCATAACAAAAATCTACAAAAGCATTTATTTTTGATAGGAATATTGGTTTGAAGCATTTCCTGAAATCAAAATAATTAATCTCACATCTATGTCAATGTCTCAAAAACCATGCATGCAAAAATATGTGAATTTATTTTCAGTACTTTCTTTGCAACATATAACACTGGATTCAAAAGTACCATTGAGAATCACAGAGAGTACAACCTACTTAATATTGACTTTTTTATCAGACAATGAACTATCAATGGTATTTTTAAGCATGGAGTCAGTTACATGCAACAGAAATTTAGTCTTAAATTTGTCATATACAATAGAGGTAAACGGTAACAAACATTTACATAGAAAAAAATACTGTGTGTCCCTCAAATCATAAAAAGTGGTTTTTAATTAAAATTTCTGTGCTTACATTTCAAACATGAGTAAAGTTTCTATATCTTTTACATTCTCAAAGTCATAAATATTAATCAACTTTAATTGCATAAAAATGCTTGTCCATCTGATTTTAGTTTTTCATTTTCAGCATGTGAAAATTGTTGTTTACATTGGAACAAATGACATTGGAACAAATGACATTGGAACAGACATTGGAACAAATGACATTGAAACAAATGACATTGAAACAACTGACATTGGTACATTGGAACAAATGACATTGGAACAGACATTGGAACAAATGACATTGGGACAAATGACATTGGAACAAATGACATTGGAACAAATGACATTGGAACAGACATTGGAACAGACATTGGAACAAATGACATTGAAACAAATGACGTTGGTACATTGGAACAAATGACATTGGAACAGACATTGGAACAAATGACATTGGGACAAATGACATTGGAACAAATGACATTGGGACAAATGACATTGGAACAAATGACATTGGTACATTGGAACAAATGACATTGGACCAAATGACATTGAAACAAATGACACTGAAACAAATGACATTGAAACAAATGACTCACATTAGAACAAATGACATTGGAACAATTGATATTGGAACAAATGACATTGAAACAAATGACTCACATTAGAACAAATGACATTGAAACAGATTACATTGAAACAAATGACATTGGAACAAATGACATTGGTACAAATCAAATTGCAATGAATGATACCATTTATAATCATGCTAATGTCTAAAAAATTTATGGTTTGTACTTCATTTAAATCAAAAATATGATGTCAACAAACTTAAATGAAAAATATATTTCATGTTTAATTTTCATGATCTTTCATTGAAAACAACTTTTTAATGTTATTGGGACACAAAGTATTAAGATAACAAATCATAACAAAAAGCAACAAAAACATGAAAAAGCTACAAAAAGCATTATCTACAATTTGCCCTATACAACTTAAGTTTAAAGCTAAAGCAAAAAACTAAAAAGATAATAGTTATTTTGTAAGAGTTTCCCCTTTACAAATAAAGTTAAAAGTTATAACAAATACTATTCAGAACAAAAGACTAGTTATTTATGAGGGTCTTGATGGGGTTTGCAGAAAAGAGAATAATAGGCCAAATTTAAAGAAAAATGAGCCAAAAAAATTGAAATAAAGAACAGAGAAAAATAGGGCAAAATAAAAATGATTAAAGAATAATTGGGTGCTAAAATATAAAGAATAGAGCATAATGGGGTGCTAAAATATAAACAATAGAGCATAACAGGATGCTAAATTATAAAGAATAGAGAATAATGGGCAAAAAATATAAAGAATAGAGAAATATGACATAAAAGATTGAAGAATAAGGAAATGAAGGACTCCCATCCAGACCATCTATTATAGGGATAATTTGTCAACCTAATAAGAACTATTATAAACACTGAAAAATAAGAACATTAGTCTATTATATCCCATTTACAACTAAAGTTATAAGCTATAAATGATTAGATGTATTTTGTACCTGTAGAAGGCTGTTCATCTGTTTTTTCTTCTGTAAAAAGCAATACTGTGTCAACAATTTATACAAGAATATGTATACAATGCCCCCTCACACTTTCACATTTCATGTTCAGTGAGCCATGAAATCTTTGTCAAAAGTCCTAATTTGTCATATATATATATAAAACAGTACACTTCAAAATGAACATATGTACAAAACTTTAAATTCATGTGAACACATCTTCGCTAGCCAAGGGTTACGATCCAGTCCCCTCCTCTCCACCCTTGGCAGATTGAGCCAACATTTGTGATTATAATGCTGCGCCATCTACCATCTGATAAAAGTCACTCCCATTCCGACTACATCATTCTTGACCAATGGTAGCACTTGAAATCTCTTCAGTGTGGAGGCGTAAAAATGGTTGTGTCTAGTGTTTACAAATTTTGTGAAGCAGGAACCGAAAATATATGTTGCCATTCCAACATTTGTGCGAGAAACATACTCAGAAACTAAAATTAGTTGATTAAGAACATTACAATTGTCACTAAATATCGTCCTATGTTTTGGGGGTAAAGACTTGTTGCACAATCAGCACATGGCAATTGTTTATGTACATTTTCTACATTTATACGTGATCATCTTAAAGGCGCTCTTTGATTGGATGCAGCCAGTTACAACTGCAACCAATGAAAATCATTACCTCGTGGATCCGAAATTCTAGCTTAATCCGCCAAGGGTGGAGAGGAGGGGACTGGATCGTAACCCTTGGCTTGCGAAGATGATGTGAACACAAACTACCATAAACCAAAATGATCACCTACAAAAACTTTAACCAAATAAGGGACAGAATTGGCTAACTTGCAACAGATGGACAGTCACACAGAGGGTAGGACAGACCATAAAATAATAATGCCGCTCGACTTTTGGAAATTGGTCTTAAAAAAATAACTTATTGTTACAGTAAAAGTTCATGATTTTCTGATTACAGATAAATTAGATTAATCATTTGGTTCCAAATTCAATTGCTTGCTTGTAAAGTTTAACAGAAAAACCACATTAACAGTGAAAGCAATGATTAATATGTGTTTTGTGTTTGCTTAAATAATTTGACATGCATAACGGAACAGTATCACAAAAGTGATTCAAATTTTACTTCAATCGTAATCACAAACGAAACGTATATCGTCTATATACCACAAAAAATAACAAACATTCAAAACAATAATCATATTCAAGTGATCATAGCAACTGAAAATTATTTGTTAATATATTCATTTTACATTTGTGATTTTCTTGCTTTGAAAGACATTAAAACTTACAGAAGTTAATTGAAAGTCTGAGTTACTACAAAAATATACAATTATGTTAAACTTAAGGATGTTCGCTACTCTTGTTTTTGAAATTTTGTTTTGTCAGATATTCGGAATCCTCTAGTTTTATCCATGTAGTGCCAATAAAAATTTTGCCCGCTAACCCCTATTTTTCTTTTCATATTTTTATTACGTATAGTTTAAAAAGCCATTTCTGAAAATCTAATAAAAAACTTTGTAATTTTTCATTGTTTTTGAAAGAAAAAAAGGTGCCAAAGTTAAATATATGAAAATCTAGAAAGAATCATTTCCCGCCAAATTTTCAATTGATTATATCTCAAAAACAAGGAACAGATCTTGTCATTTTTTTTTCTAAAATTTAATTTCTGTTATTTATATTCTATCAATGTATTTTAAATAGCTTGTTATTTTTAAACAGACCAGTGAACATCCTTAAAGGTTTTATACAAGTTTAATAATTGTCCTTATAAATACTAGCACGTAATAATATAGTTATATTAGGTACAAAGACAGCACTGATCTTATTGTGGATTCATTTGTATTTGTGGATACTTCTTTTCGTGGATTGCTAAAAAATTGTATGGTCAACGATATTTGATTTCCAGGTTTTGCAAATATTCAGTATACTAGCCTACAGAAAAAATTGTACTTTGTTAAACATAATATTTGTGGTTCACCTTGAACCACAAAATCCATGAAAATTAAAGTTCTACAAATCATAATAAATCCACAGTCGTTACTGTCCTACAAAACTTAAGTTTAAAGTTAAATGTTTGACAATCTTTAAATACATAAACATCAACTTGCACACTGTTTTAATTGACAGGCAATATTATAAGATAATAAAGTTATTAGGCAAAGAAATAATAAATTTTCTAAATTTTAATAATTGTTTTCAAAATAATTAAATAAAATAAAATTCATATTAGTTTTAAACAGTTAACAAAATGGCAAATTCTCATATACAGAAGCTTTACAAAGAACATAATTAGTCTATACATGTATATAAATAAGGAGATGATGATTGCCAATGAGACACCTATCCACCAGAGTTCAAATGTCATGGATATAAGAAATTATAGGTATAGTCTGCCATATACAAATTTCTGAAGTTTAGAAGCTATTGGGAATCGACCATTCATCTTTTCATCTTTTGAGGAAGGAAAGGGGATTAAGTTTTTTTCCAGGATAAACAATTTTTTTCTTGTTTCTGACTTTATTCAAAACAATCCCCCCCCCCCCCCCCCCCCCATACATGATATAGGTATGCAAAATTTTATAAAATTTAATGTGGTATTTTTTCTCTCCTACTAATTTCCAATGGAAACTATTTTTTTTTTACTTCTCAGCTGAAAAATTTTCTTTCTTCATTTAGAATTAGAATCAAACAGTTTAAAAAAAACATGCTCCCCCAACAAAAGATGAATGGTCTGTGCCTAAATGACAATTGCAAAGGAAACCATTGGTCAATAATCTACCCCATACAACTTAAATTATAAGCTAAATCTGATTAGATATATTTTGTACCTGTAGAAGGCTGCTCATCTGTTTTTTCTTCTATAAAAATATCAGAAGGTCATATATAGAAAAACTCAAATATTCTCAGACTGTTTATAATGAGGTTAAACACCGTTTCCTCATCATTATGATTCCTACTCTGTCATGGAAATCAATTTAATTGAAATTAGCTTGAAAACTCTATCACATACTCTAAGTTACACTCAACAAAGTTGACAAACACTTAAAAAAAATGTGTAAGGGTTCCGCGGAACCCAGTGTCTCGCCTACTTTTGCTGTTAATCGCAGGCTAAACAAAAATGAGGAAGTAAATCAATAAAAATATTCCTCTTGATACTATCTTTTGATTGTAAGAAGCTTCTGTCCAAGTTTGGTAAAAATCCAGGATAGTTTATGAATCTAATAAATGTTTAAAAACTTTAACTGCAGACTGAATGTAATGTTAACTGGAAGAAAACAAAATTTCCTTCTAGATACTAGCATTTGATCATAAACAAGCTTATGTCCAAGTTTGGTACAAATCCAAAATAGTATAAGAAAGTTATTAAAATTTTAAAAACTTTAACCACAGAGTGAATATGTTGTTTCCTGGCAGAAAAGTCCATTTAAAAGTAAAATACAGAAAAAATGGATTTATTTTTTTACAAAATTTCCTTCTAGATACTAGCTTTTGACCATAAACAAGCTTCTGTCCAAGTTTGGTACAAATCCAGGATAGTTTAAGAAAGTTATTAAAATTTCAAAAACTTTAACCACAGAGTGAATATTTGTGGACGCCGCCACCGCTGACGACGACGACGGAATGTAGGATCGCTATGTCTCGCTTTTTCGACTAAAGTCGAAGGCTCGACAAAAATTGCCTGCGGTGAGGCTACTGTAAATTCAGAAATTGTTGCATGCATTTATTATTGCAATTTTTGAAGAATTAACCAAATAACAAGTTTAATTATTGCGATTTTAGGAAATGCTAAATACAGATTTACGTATTTAATATCAGAATGCTAAGTCTTATTATTGCGATACTCAATTAGTCGCATTATTCGCATTAATAAAAACCTCGCAATAATTTCTGAATTTACAGTATTTAATGTAGACAGCAAAACTGCTGTTCAGCGGCATATTTTAAGAATTCTAAAATGCTGATGATTTGTATAATTATACTAGACCAATTACCAAAAGTGATGACTCAGCAATATATTTTGAAAAAGAGTGCCTGTCTAAGAAAACATATCAAACGTATATCTTTTCTTTTTTAAGAAACTTAAAACTTAGTTACCTTCTTTGGTTTCTTCTTTTTGGGTTTCTGTAAAAAAGACAAAAAAAAACCTTAATTTAAATACAGGTCTTATACAGTTATGTGTGTTGTCTGAACTGATTTTTATTTCATTGTAAGTACACCCAACAGTTTGAAATATATGATAGACTTTGTTCTTATGTTGTACTGTTACACGACTGTCCCAGGTTAGGGAGAGGGTTTGGCACCAGCAAACATGTTTAACCCTGCCACATTCTGCCTGTCCAAAGTCAGGAGACTGTAATTCAGTGGTTGTTGTTTATTACTGTATATCCTATTTGTTTTTTATTTATTGTTTTGTACATAAATCAGGCCATTAGTTATCTCGTTGGAATTGTTTTACATTTGTTATTTAGCTTACTATGCATAGTGGGTTTTGCTCATTGTTGAAGGCTGTACAGTGACCTATAGTTGTTAATTTCTATGTCATTTGTCTCATTGGAAATCATACCACATCTTCTTATTTTAACATGAAAAAGAAGTCAAGACCAGAGGAACCTGCCAGACAGATATATAAACTATACAATCATTTCATACACCAAATATAGTTGACCTAAAAGTATCTGAGAAACGAACTTCACCATGAAAACTTTACATTGACCAATAAATCATGAAAATGAGATAACATTCAGATGAACCCTGCCAGAGAGACATGTACACCTTACATCATTCCATACATCAAATATAGTTGACCTATTGCTTAAAATATCTGAGATACAGACTTGACCATAAAAACTTAACCTTGATCACTGACGGAGTCATAAAATGAGGTCAAGGTCAGGTGAACCCTGTCTGACGAACATGTTTCAAACTCAATAGATCATGACTGAGGAGGCAGGGCCAAATAATCTCCATGGAAATGAGATGTGCCAACACTAATACAACTGCATACCAAATATCATTGACCTACCACTAGTGGTTTCCCATAAACTGACCTAATCACAAACTAATACATTGTTGATGCCGCCATTGACAGAAACAGCATACCTAAGTTTTTTTTTACTCTGTCAAGGTTTTTTTTAAGCAGTTGCTGAACCATGAAAATGAGGTCAAGGACAATGGACAAATGATAACAGGTATGAAGCATCCAGATCTTCTACATGGTCTATTGAAACATAAATCTTTATACAAATAGTTTACCTTGTCACCCCCAGATTGTAATCCCTATGTGTCTGGCATAAAAACCTAGTCAAAATGTTGCAGACTTTCAAATAATATTTGATATTTACCTAGCATAGTGAAATAACATTTGATATTTACCTTACCTAGTCAAATAATATTTGATATTTACCTTGTCTAGTTTCTTCTTCCTTAGCTCTTTGTTCTATAAAATAAATAAAAAAACATCTGACAAAAGTTGTCTCAGAAACTTACAAGATTTCATACTGGATTTAGAACAAATAAGGATGTTGAATGTTAATATCGTCTACTTCCTGAATAATTTAAAACTCCTTCAGGACTTTTTATTTTGGGGGGTGGGGAGTAATGCATTAAATGGTTTTCCATAATCTATATATTTCTCTACTATCCAATGCCTACGTCTTAACTATATATTTAGCAAGACATTTTACTTTTGTTTTTTTCTTCCAATACTTTTCCTACATTTGAATTCTCTGCATAAAATTCATATGAAGCTAAAGAAACATTCTTATCCTTGCCAACAAAAAGCAATAACAAAACAAGAATATGCGTCCATACAAAATCTGGGCCAAAACCCTAATTTGGCATTAATATTAAACAGTACACTTCATAATGAACATGTGTACTAAATTTCAAGTTGGTGTGACCATAAACTACCTTAAACAAAAACTTTAACCTATCTTATACAGAATGGACAAACAGACAGAAATACCATGACATGTGTGTATGACCAAAAAGACTTTCACAAACTATGACTTACCATCTAACTGTTGCTGTTTAACTTCCGGTGATGATTCCTCTGCATCCTTCGTTGAATCTGATACTGGCTTATCTATAAATAACAAATATAACCTTAATATAGGTATCGTCATCAAATTTGAAAATTTTGATAAATATTGGTATAACAGGGGACCACTTTCTTTTGTTTTTAAATGTTGGGCATCGTCAAAATATTACAGAGTTCACGTTACATGTATATAGAGACAATTTTAATTTCTGTGGATTCAATTGTTTTATGGATACCAATTTTCAAGGATTAGGGGATTGTATTTTCAAAGGTTTCTAAATTTCCCGTATTTTCAAAGTCTGGGTTACAAGCCTTTAGAAAAATTTGAACTTTTGTGAACATTTACATTTGTGGTTTGATAACCTATACCCACGAAATTCACAAAAATTGGAGCCCCCACAAATAATAATGAATCCCCAATAGCATGTTGTTTCCAAAGTTTATAAATATTAAACTTTAAAGTTACATCCTGATCATTTTAGTGATCACATGGTCAATTGAGATATTATAAGTATTAAATATGTTTGCGCCTGTCCCAAGTCAGGAACCTCTGGTCTTTCTTAGTCTTGTATTTTTTTTTCTAATTTTTGTTCATTTATATGTTTCAGAGTTTAGTGTGACGTCCATTTTCGCTGAACTAGTAAACATTATTGTTAAGGGGCCAGTTGAAGCCCGCCTCCGTGTGCAGGATTTTCCAACTGTGTTGAAGCCCCATTTGTGGCATTTGGCTGTTTTCTGCTCTTTGGTCAGGTTATTGTCTCTTTGACGCATTCCCTGTTTCTTAACTTTCCATTCTCAATTTTATCAAATGTTACTACACATATTTTCTGATATAAATTAATCAACATTTTTTTACATTTTAAGCTTGAATGAAGCCAATTTTTATGATATATCAAAGCTCAAAACAGACATAAAACAAATTGTAGAAAATAAAATGATTTTAATTTTCAATTTTTAGTATTTTGCTGGGTTCTTTTTAATTATAGAATGATATTTAACATGACTTAAGTTTTGACTCATTTTTCCTGAAGTAAAAAGTATCACTCTCATAAACCTTGTTTACAAGTGGTAATTAAATAAATAATTATTGACTTTTTTTTTCATCTAATCTGAATTTTTTCGTGCAAAGAAAAGACTGAACAAGAAACTAGCATCTACAATTTCCTAGCAACATTTACTAGAGATTAATAACTTTGAGGTAATATAAATAAATTTAAAGCAATACAGAGAATGGTTTAGGAATAGTATTGTGAGAGAGAGAGAATAACAGATATTTTGCAAGAAGTTTGAAAGCTCTGGGAAATGAAATTAAAGTGGGTATCATCTAGCTATAACAAGGTTTTATGTTTAGTAAAGAACGTTTTCACTGGCAGTAAAGACAACCTGCTTTTCCAGGAGTAGGAACTTCTGCTGCAAAACCTATAAATAATTTAAGACGATTATGTTTTTTTTCTGCTAAACTTCCCATTAGTGATGTTTATATCAAATAAACACAGTTTCATTAAATTTTAACTTGTCAGATAATATATTTTCTATTGAACGATTTTCTTCTTCCAAAAATAAATGTCCGTGGGTGATTAACTTAGAGAGCAATGGGGCTTATTAGTCATCATGCACATTGCTGAAAAGCAGGGGTTTTCTTTACTAGTGGAATTTTATGAATCTGATTTACTCTTATAGTATTTCATGCAGTCAAAACTCATGTGGGGCATCGGTAGCCGAGTGGTCTAAGTAGTCAAACTACTGTATCACTAGCAAGTCAACACTAAGATTGTGAGTTCGAATCCCGCACGGGGCAGGTGCACTGGACTCCAATCTTAATTGACTAGGATTGTCAGTTTTCCTACCGAAGATCGTGGTTCTCTCTGGCCACTCCGGCTTCCTCCGCCAATAAAAACTGCCCGCCACGAAATAGCACAATAGTGTTGAAAGTGGCGTTAAACATCAATCAATCAATCAATCAAAACTAATGTGTGTAAGTACTAAAGATACAAGATATTTATCATCAGCGTGAAACCTCTTCGAGTTTCCTATGGTCCTTGATCTTGTGTTGATAAATATCTTTCCAATCTGGCAAAATTGTATGAATTGTTGCAGCTGGTTACATCAATATGTGTTTTATTTAACAGGCCTATTTACTATAAAGCTGATAGCTGATTTTGAGTGTGTACAAATGGCAATGGATGTAATGTTGTTTGTTTGCTAAGCGGACCATGAAATGGATAAAGCATAACTAAACCTGACAAGCAAAAACATTCATTTCAATGCTTATATAAAGTTAAATAATATAAAGCAGAATGCATGTGTTGTCTTGCTAAGCACATTTTTAATTCAATGTATCGAAAAACAGGAAGAAAGTGTCTGATAGTTATGAAAAGTGCAACAATGTTACAATTCATCACTGTCGAGTTGCTGACCAAATATGAAGTCATCCTGTTACTTCTAGAGATAGGGTATTTAATTATTACAAAGAGCAAAACCATAAGTCAGTTTAAAGATATATTATTTGTTAGTATCAATCTATTATTTGATGATGGGAAATTTGAGAATTACAAGATATCAATCAATAAATTGTATCTATTTAAGAAACTCACCTTCTTCATCTTTTTCTGCTTCTTCATCGATTGTTTCTGTAAAAATTTCAATTTTAAATTAATTTTTTGAAATTATTTTATTACAAAATATATTATTGGTTCTCATAGGATTGATAATATAGTACATTTTTTACTTTATGACATGACAAAAAAAGACAGACAGACAGACATTCAACAAAAAATGATTTCAATATTCTTACATTCATTTGTAAAAACAAAGTATTCAGGGTTTAAATTTTTGTTTTTTTTGAAAAAAAAACCACATCAAGAACTAGCGACCAAGAAAGGTTAACAATCCCAGCATGTTTTTCTCCCTCAATACTTCACCTGAATACTCATTAACTTTGAATAGCAAGCTGTTTTTTTTTAACCCATTAAATTTCAATTTTTTTTTCAATAAACATGATAAAAGAAAACTTTTAATCTAACTTCTGCTGATTATTTCCCAGCATGCTAGTTGTCACAGATACTGGTATTTAGTTTTACATCTTTTGGTCATTGGTAGATATTTGTCTCAGTGGCACACTTACCACATTTAATCATTGTTATATAAATGAATTAAGTTCTGTTATCAATTTGTACTAAATAGCTTGCAAAGTGCTCTTAAATTACTGTGCATTGCTAAGTCTGCTACCTACTGTGCAGTGCATTGTAGTGATGGGCTATCTCAAAGTGTCATTTGTAGTGATGGGCCATCTCAAAGTGTCACATTTAAAACTTATTTTAAAACTATTCAAGCAGGTCTGTCTCAAAAAGCTTTTTCGGTATGATTCTTTCAGTATTGGAATTTTTTTTTAGAAATCTTACAAATAATTCCAGATATTTAGGTGGACAAATGACAGTTTGAGACAAACTCTAAAGATAACATATAGACATGATAGAAGAAACACCATAAACCAGAATCTTCAAATATTTATGCATTGTACATATATAACAAAGACAGTCTGAGTGAAAAAAAAGAATGGGCTAAAAACGATCTTTGTCTCTAAAAATCTTCAAATTAACAAGGAGTTCCATGTTCAACCTAAAATATTATCTTCAAAATGTAGTTTCACTGAGGTACCAATTCTCACATATCATTGGTTGCAGTTTGTAAATGACCTAATAGTATTATGACCTTCTGTGAAACAGTTAGGTCTGTTTTAGTCAAACTTAAAAAAATTAAGGGAACTGCTTCATATCAAGTGCTTAAAGTTTGTATTTTAAGGTGGTAAATAACACTACAGGGAGATAACTCTGTAAAAATCAGCTGAATGTTAAAATGACGTTCTATTGTTAAGGAAGTATTAAGCTTCTCAATGATCAAAATTAGTGTTTGTCAAACTGCTATATATCCAATGAATTTTTTCCGATAAAGAGTGTGTTTCAAGTTTTTGGAAATTTTTATATTTTTGTCAAAGGGTCAAAGTAACTATTTTGTCAAAATTTTAGGAAAATTAAACGACCAATTTAATTTTAGTCAAGGTGTTTGGTACCACCTTAAATATCAGAAATAGCAAATCCATCCTCATTTCATATATTTTTTCAAAGTTAATTGCTTAATACATAATATGTTTGATAAGACATTACCTATTCAATATGAGAATACATATTTAAGTTAATTCCAAGCAAAATCCAGTACATTTGGAAGATAGAGAGTATTCAAGCATTATTTTTACTAATCTTCAAGCAATTAAAAAAAATATTTCTATAGATTAAAGAATGGAGGACTTGGTTGCAAAAAATCATTATGTTATTAGAGATACTGCAGAAACCTAATTGTACAACAGCACAAGACACAAACAAGATAAAAACACAAACACAAACACATAAATATACATTGTATATTCATAATATATAAAATGTGAGATCAGTAGGCTTTTTGAATAATTATTTTTTCCAATTATCTATAATACTTTAACCTGAAATTGTTTGTCTTTTGAAGTTAACTTTCCTTGGAGGAAACGTGTTCAAAACTCTGAGTAATTATAAATTACATGTAAACTGAATAAATGGAACAAAAAATTAGTTTAGGTTACATGATAACATTTATGTATTGACTTAAAGTCTGTTTAGGCCTAAAATCTAAGAAATGCAAGCAATACCTATAAAATATATGGCCCATAAAACGGCAAAGGAACGGTCTATACATATATGCTTTTAACCAAGGGGCAAAGAAATTGTTTAGACATACGTTTGATAGATTTTCTTTCAATAGGATCCTGATAAATCTGAATTTAGCCAAATTCTACAGGGTTCACACTAGTTAAATAATCTTCTATTATTATGTTCACAACTTTCACCTGAGATATAAATAAGTGTTCATTCAAATAAATTTCAAACTATAATAAAAAATCTAACAACTAGATTCCACTAAAAATGTCCAATTGCCAAAACAGGAGAAGTTGTTAATTTGAAAACTTTTAGTCTGTGTAAATAAGAGGCTTTAATTTCACAATGCTATTAAAACATTTTGTTGACTTCAAAGAAAGTTGTTTCCCTTTAGTGTTATGCCTACTGATCTCTCATGCTAACATTACTATAAAAGCACAGCTATATCCAAGGTTATGCATGAATTACAAGTTGCTGCTAGACATGTGACTCCATTAACACTCCCACCAAACACGCTCTTTGATTAAAATCTGTTACTACCTTAAACCACAGCATATAATTAATATAATGACAAACAACAAACAATATACATCAATTGTGAAAAATATAGTTGAAATCTTAATAAAAAATCACTGTCTTTAAATGAGAAGCAATTAATGATTTAAATAAAATTTTACGAAAGAATAGTTCCATCATTTTATTTTTTTCAAAATTTTCATGGAAATCTATTCGTGCAAAAGAAAACACCTGATATGAATTTAGGCAAATAATACATTAAACAAGTAATTGATTTTAAATAATTACTGGAAAAGTTCTGCTGATATTAAAATTTTAAAACTTATTAATTAGGCTACAGAAAGTATTAAAGATAATTTTATATAAACTCTGAATATATATTATTATATTAACATGCAATTTGTGAATAAAGGCAATTTATCGTTACAATAACAATCAATAGCATCAATTTCAGAATTAAATAATACTTAAAGGTTTTAGTCCCTTGAACAGAATTACCTCCCTTGTTACTTGATTGTTTTGTCAATTCTTATCTGATAACACAATGGTTATATTTTTCAACCCATTCTAAATGTGTATTTGTTACTCTTTGCATTTAAAAACTTAGAATATTTTAAATACCAGAAAGAATCTATTCTGGTCCAAAGATATTTCCAAAATTTTACAAACTTGTGGATATAAACATATTCTTGCAACTTGGTTTTTTTTTTTTTTGCTTCTAAAACTGCACTGTTGAGTTTAAACTGGTCTAAATACAATGGATTCAGTTTAAGTATAATTTTCAAATCCCAGGGCGACTACGATTAGAAGAAACAAGCTTCTCCCATCCCACAGGTAGACCCATGCTGAGAAGATATCTTTAGATTTATAATTACTCTGCAATGTCTGATTGAAATTGCTCTTATAGAGGTACTGTAAAGTTTTGGACTTCAATCTCCTCGAAATAAACCATTTTACCGTATTTTATGAGTGGAAAGGTATTAAACATCTTCTAGTTGTATTCAGGACATAAAAATGTTAACATGTTAATGGAATATGAATATTTGTGTTGATTAAAATGACGTAATATATAATCTACTCATTTTTACATATTAGAATTTAATCTATATAATTATTTGTGATTATTTCAAAATAACTTTAAAAAGTGTTTACATAAAAAATACCGGTAACCTTATTTTGTTTTTTAAGCATTTTTTTTTAAAGAAAATGTGCAATTTTGCACATGTCTATTTCTAAAAATAACATTTTCAAAAACATAATGTGAAAAAGATGCTATTATTCGTGCCATGTTGATCAATGTCTGATGAGTGTAACCTTATGAGGGCTGTTCCATTAAAACATAATGGTTTACTTTTATAAATTGTAACCTGGATGGAGAGTTGTCTCATTGGCACTCATACCACATCTTCCTATATCTATGGTACCCAGGGAAGGCTCTTTAAAAATGGGGTAACCACCTATAGAGGCAAATTAAAATTTTGCTTACATTTTCACTGTGCAAAAACATAGATGACACCCACCTATAGTTGAGATTTGAAAGAGCCTTCCCTGGGTACCATGTATGTTTTAATGGAACAGCCCGGACAATATCTATCAAAAACTGATCATTGAACCTTGAAAATGAGGTAAAGGTCAATGCAAGGGAACCCTGTCAGATGGACATTGCACTCATAATGATTTTATAGACCAAATATAGGTATATTAAAACTCACAGTAGCAAATTGTTTGACCTAAGCACCACAACCTAACAATGACTTTAAAACCATGAATATGAAGTCAAGGTCAAGTGACCCATATCAGATAGACAACGATTCTACAAACCAAATACACTTGACTTATTACCCAATATAAAATAAGAAATTGACCTCATTACAAAACTTTAGCATTGACCACTGAACCATGATATTGAGGTCTATGGGCTTAATATAATTGACCTTATATTCATTATAACCTAGAGATTCCCTAAGTACTTAAATTTATATCAAAATCAATCAATAAACCATGAAAATAAAGCCAAGGTCAGAGACCACATGACTGTCAATGCCCATCCTACAAGGATTCTTAAAAGATCTAATGAAGTTGACATCATTCAAACTGAGAAAATGACCTAAGCATGAAATTCAAAGTTGACTTTAGTAAATCGCTGAACCATGAAAATGAGGTCAAAGAAAACTTCCAAATGCAGGTCAAAATCTATAAGCCATCTAAATACAAAATATGAATTGTATACATCTTTACCTTCAAAAATATCAAGACTCATACAAATAGTTTATGCTGCTATTGTATCAGCATAAAATTCTAATTATAAAACTATGTCTTCCATTTTGACACTTATGTTGCAGGTATGTCAAAAACCAACCTTTTGTGACAGTGATCTTCTCTTTTCAGTGTTGCCCCTAAGCAAACATAAATTCTAAGAGCCAGAAATTTCCCCAACTGCGCAAGTGTCATATTTTCATATTTGTATATAAATATGCTTTTTCCCAAATCATCAAGACAAATTGATTAACTGCTGACAACTGTATACAAAATTACTGACCATAATTCCCCCTTCTTCCAATAAAGCAAAATAAAAAAAAAACATCTATACAGTACGCACAGAGAGTTTGTAATCGCGAACTCTAATCACGGATTTCGGAGTGTAGCGGTGTCACACCGCGAATCACGGATTATACTCCCAATTTTCTCCAAAGATTCTCTCCCAACACCGCGTGGCTGTTAATTGGTTTATTGCCCATCGGATGTACTGAAAATTAATGACGCGTGACAACATAATCGGATTAGCCAGATTTATTACCTTTGTACATTTAATCGATCTTGATTGCACCTGTGTGCTTTAAAACACGGTATTAAAATTTCCTTTCTTTGACAGATAAAAATGTGACATTTTCATTCAAAATAAGATAATTATTCTTGTATGTATTTGCCCCATGTCATTGTCATTTGAAATAAAACGTACAAACGTATAAAAATACGAATAAAACACTTTTTTTGTATTTTTATTATAGTCCGGTCAGGTCATAATTTTTGTTTTTTCAACAAAGACGATTTTACTACAATTAGAATCTTTTATGACCTACTCAGTGAGCAATAACCGGTTCATTAATTGTTCAATATATAAATATCAACTGGCTTAAAACAAAATGATGTTTTTACGGTAATTTGTCCAATCTAAACCCAAGAGTTAATTTATCGGATCAACAAGTGAACTCTGTTACTTTCAATTTATTTTGCAATGTAAAATATTATGTTTCACTACCTCGGTAGATTACCGACTTGAAATATTTGAACTCAGAAAAGAAACTGTAAAGTGACAACTCTGTTGAACGAAGGGAAAACGTTGTGTATGCAGGATTTTTACGATCTACACATTTTCACAGAGGATCTCTACCAACGCCCAACAGGAACTGAACGACATGCATCCTGTTTTCATCTACCATTTATGTATATTGTTGACCATGGACGTATACATAATGTCCAGGTTTATGTCCTGTGTTGACTGAGAAACGTAAAATTAAAAGGCTGGTGTTCGTTTATTCAGAAAAGGATTATATTTTAGATTCCGGTTAATCAATTGTAAAAGGACCTTCTAGAGCCTCAATCTTAAGGCATACAAATGTCAATCATTCCAAAGCAAATTTAAACCCCGAATGAATTTTCCCACGGTCATCCAGAAAGGTCACCTGAGTTTACTGTTACGTGATAATATTTCCCGCCAAATAAAAATCTCGTGGACAAAATTGATGTCACTATTTTTAGCATTCAATATTGTGATCGAAGTCAAGTTCAAAGTTCAACCACGGACTGTTGATCACTGAGATGTGTATCGTCTTCCCACGGCAATTAATTTCTTTTAACAAATTTAAAAATCAATGTCCTTTAAACAAAACACAAGTTTACATTCATTGTGCGTAAATGAATATTATGCAACGACGAGTTGATGCAGCTATAGAAGTATTCCTGTTGTAGCCGAAATGTAATTATTTATCCTAAAGTAATGCCAACAAATCGTAAAGAGAAAATGCCGTAGACTTATTAAGCATAACGAATGGTGAATAGTATTTTCTTTTTTACTTGCATATACAAATTTTAAGACACGTAATTTTCTTTAAACTGCTCACTTTTATATTCAGCGTTAGTTTCCGTTTATTTTTACGCAAGTATGTCTCTTTTCGTAAATAAAATAATTTACCGATGAACTTAAGGTCAAAATCAAGTATAGTTTTTGTTATAAAACTTTAATGCAATTGAAAGAATTAACAACAACATTCTGCTTTTAAATCTTTAATTTGTTTCAAGCAATTATGTAATCGTAAAATGAAAATGACGTGGACTTATTAGCATAACGAATAGTGAATAATATTTTCTTTTTTACTTGTATACAAAACTTTGAGACATGTAATTTTCCTTTAAACTGCCCACATTTATTCAGCGTAAGTCTCCGTTTATTTTTACACAAGTATATCTCTTTTGTAAATTAAATATTAATTTACTGACCAGAAATAAAACGAGGTAAAAATCAAATATAGTTTTTTTTTAATAAAACTATTTTTAAATGTACAGTGTAATTGAAAGAATTAACAACAACGTTTTGCTTTTAAATCTTTTATTCAGAAATATAACCTGATTATTAATAGACAGGAAATACAATTGTTTAATTACATAAGTAATCTCACATACCTTGACTGTCGCGTGCCGGTATAGATCAGAAGGATTAGGGCAATTAATTACCTGGTGTGACACCGCGTCACACCGGACTGGGAGAGATGTCGCTAATACAATAAACAAAAGGTAGCGAATTTACGCGGAAGTCGGAGGGAATACTCCCAAATTTCTCCGAGAATTTAGGGAGGGATGTCGGAGTTTCCTGGTGTCACACCAAGAAAAAACTTGGTGTTCGGAGTTTGGGAAGCCTTTCGCGAAATTTGTACTGTAGTTGGGAACAAAATGGTGATAATTCCTCTTTTTCCCACTAAAAAAATTTCATAATCATCTGTAGTTGGAAACTTGCATAAAAACGTTTACTTTGCCTAGATCTCATTCTCAGCTACTTTGTTCTTCAAAGACCTATTTTAAGTTCTTTTTATGAATAAGTTACACAAGTTGACATTTGTTCTTATTGTGACGAAAAAACTTAAGCATTGTACAAGAAAATGCATGAATGTGAAGATTGTCTTTAGCCACAGCCAATGCACCATTACCATGGTAATGTGAAATAATATCCAATACACAAGTCCGCTAAGCCATTCAGTACAGCCAATCTGTGCTAAGGTGTGTGTCATACCTAGTCTTCTTCTTCAGTTGTTATGCTTGATGCAGCAATCAGGGACATTTAACGAAGAATTTGCAAGCTATTTATGGACTAATGATTAAAGGTACCATATAAAATTTCAAGCAAATTTCCAGCAAAAAAAAATAAACATTTTTCAATTTAAGTTAAAAGATAAGGGAGGATAGCTGAAGCTAAACACAGTCACCAAAAAGCAGATTCTGACATCAAATGAATTACACTTTATAGATTTTGTGCTTTTAAGCACTTTCCTTGATTTAACCTTCATCAGGAACTTTCAAATCAAATTTCTTTACTCAACAGTTTTATTTGTTTTCTGGTGTAAAAGTTATTTTTTTTACATATTTGTTTACTTTCTTGAAAGTCATTTTTATTGGAAGGAACAACAGTATCAACCATCAGCTAGGTTCTTTGTAGGGTCAACAATTTCCAGTAACGTATACTAACTTCAAAAATACAATTCCATTAATTGTAACATAGTTATCACATCACACAGTGGACCTATGACAGCACACCTGGTTCACATGCTTTATCTATAAATACTTTGGAAAATCCCAAGCTTCAACAATAAATATTTTAGAAATTCACATGCTTTATCTATAAATATTTTGGCAAGTCACATGCTAATCTATCTATAAATAACTTTGTAAAGGATGCCTTAACACCAATATTGATTTAAAATGTTAGAGGCAAGCAAGACCAGTATATATAATGGGAAATCACAATAATGTTTCATTCCAAAGAGTTATATATATCTTTATCAATTAAATGATTTTTTTCTTTGGAACAGAGATAACTCATTAAATTTCCCATATCTTTGGAAGGGAGATAACTCATTATATTTCCCATATCTTTGGAAGGGAGATAACTCGTTAGATTTTCCAATATCACACTATATTTACAACATCTAAGCAAAAATTAAAAATAAAGTACATGCACAACACATTTTTAGCCTTAGATCTGAAACCACTAGACAATAAAAAAAAAGGGGCATAATTTATTCAAAAGGTAATTTCATCAAATTCAAACAGTAAAAATTGGGGGAAAATCTGTATTATGTAGCTACCACAAGCTTTCCATACAGATATCACCAGTCTGCCAATTTGGTATTACATTCCCCCCTCTCTCATTATATGAACCTAATATTATTCTTATTCAAATTGACCACTTCATGTACATAGATAAGCTTCTATTTCAATAATATAGCAGAATCCAATATGAATACATAAACGTTAGATTTAAACCAAAGCATAAGCTTTAAAATCTACATTAAAAAGATAAAAAGTTAAAAGATATATGAAGCATGCAAGATTGTATAGTAATGCAGTGAGAAAATGCAAACACTGTAAATATCATTATAAAAGATAAAATAAAATTTGTATTAGTTTCTTAGCAAAATTTACTTCTTTTTATTTGTACTTCAATTATTTCAACCTAGTTCTGACAATCCTATACAGAATTTACTTATATATATATAAATATAAATCTTATTTCTTTTATTAATATGCTTACATCTCTTAAATCTTTTTAATTAGTCTTTACCATTTCTGCTTATTTAATCTATTTGTTTTATTATTTTATTTTACACTGAAAAACATATCTTTCTTTCATATATGAAACAAAATTTACTTTGTAGATTTTACATAGATTATAAAATTTTTCTTGCAAAGGGAGATCATTCATTAGAAAGCCTAACCTAATATGAGAAAAAATTATTTTGTAAGGGGAAGTTACTCATGCACATGTCTAACTACGCTAATGTAAAACATGATACCTAGCGCTGCACCATCTGGAGTGAATTTCAAATCACCGAAAATTGTTTTGATGGTTTTCTTTGCATGTTCTGGATCGGAGCTTCCGTGGACAGCATTCTTTAATATACTTTCACCATATGTAGCTCGTATACTGAAATGATAAAAGTTAATTGTTAAAAAAGTACAAACTTAATAACTAAGAGGTAATTATTGCTATTCTTCCTAAAATCACATGAAGGTTTTGATCCTTTTAGATATTCTGTGTTTGACTTCAAGGTACCTGACAAAAGTTATTCCAAAAAGTCTTGTGTACACCTAAATTTAGTATCAGGCCAAAAATAAATATATGTCCTTTTATGGTCTATAACCATTATAAAAAAGGGTCGGTTGGTTGCCATTTTATTTTATTTTTGTATTTATTTTTTTTTTAGGCATATTAACAGAATCCAGAAAAATTACATTTTTTCTCTGAATTTAATGCCGTTTTACATTTATACATTGTTACTGAAAGCTGTATGGTGACCTGAAGTTGTTTACATCTTCTTCCTTTGGTTCGGGATAGTTGCCTCATTTGAAATAATACCACATTGCCTTATTTTTATAGAGGATTTAACACCCCGTTCTCAATAGACTTCTGCGTTATTTGGTTTATCATTGAAGAAAAAAGAGTCAAGAATACAATTAACAGAAATTAATGGCCTAAACGATAGATCCAACTTACCTGTCAGGGGAAACTTCTTTAGCCTGTGTTGGATCAGTGGGTCCAATCATAGACCTCCAACCATCAACTGCACCTTCTCTAGACAGCACCATCAAATATGTTGGACCACTATGAAACAATAAAAGGTTTTAAAAACAAACATCAAATATGTTGGACCGATATAAAACAATAAAAAGGTTTTAAAAACAATAAAAAAACTGACATTTTCTAATCACACTAACTGTTAACTAACTTCTTCACATTAGGGTCATTTTAACCTTTCCTATCAAAATATCAATTTCCTAGTATAATATACCAAAATAAAATAGTTATTTTATTAATTTCCCAATTTCATTTGTCACACAGTAAATTTTGGATGATTCATCAAATAAAGAACAAAACTTAAACAAATGCCTGTATTTCCTGCAGGTCTTGATGAAAGTCAACAGGAAAATAACAAATCTCTGTTTCAAGCACTAATTTATATTAATCTGATATGTCTGTAACCGAAAACTTCACAATTTCCAATAATCCATAATTAGAGTTCCATATTTTAAAATTAATATCAATTTGCTCATAACACTTAATTAAGGAATGACTGTAATATTTTTTCTGTCTATGAAGAAATAAAATCAAAAATGTGGTGCACACTGAATAATCTGCATAGCAAAAAAAAAAACCTTTCAGCCAATCAGAAGACGTGTTACAGCCAAAATTAAATTATGTGCATACAAACCTTGTCATGTGTTCTATTAGATCATTATAATAATCCTTATCTTTATGATCAGCATAAAATTCTTCTGCAATCTCTTTGGACAATTTAGTTTCTTTCCTGGCTGCAATTCTGAAACCAGCCTCATGAATTCTGTCTATAATCTCGTCTATAAATGAAAAAAGACAATAAACCCTTCTAAATATTTCATAAGTTTTCTTTACATGCTTGCATTATATAAACTTGAATCAACAGTTCTAAATCCACAGCAAGGTCATTAGGCAACTAGGGTAAACTATTAAGGATGTTCGCTCCTCTTGTTTTTTGAATTTTTGCCAGATATTCAGAATCCTCTGGTTTTATCCATGTAGTGCCATTAAAAATTTTGCCCACTAACCCCTTTTTTCTTTCCATAATTTGGTTACATATAGTATAAAATGTCATCTTTGAAAATCTTATAAAATCCTTGTTATTTTTTCATCGTTTTTGAAAGAAAAAAGGTGTCAATGTTAAATATATGAAAAATCTAGAGAGAATTATTGTCCGCCAAATTTTCGATGGCTTTTATCTCGAAAACAAGCACACGGACCCTTCATTTTTTTCTGTTTTTTTAGTTTCTTTATTTATATACTATCAATTTATAACAGTCTTTTAAAAAGCTTGTTATTTTTAAGATAGAAATAATCTTCAAGTAATGGGGAAATAGTTGCTGTTGTTGAGTACTCGTTTAATCAAGTATCGCCTTGTAGTACCTAGTATCAAATACCCAAATAATACTTGACTAATCGATTTCCTATTACGACATGGCCTTCTTTTCATAAAATTGATTTTCTTGAGAACGCCACTCAGAGAATAAGTAAATAATCACTGGTTTACCAAAGTTCAGATATTTTTCCTATCTTAGTGCTAAACTTTATTTTAAAATGTCTCCAAAATCTTCTGTTTGGAAGTATTTTAAACCAAAATTGACAGTAAAATACTAAAATGTTGACTTTTGGAAGTTGAACTGATGCATTATGGTGAAAGTACATGGTTGTTGCAAAATAATAGAACAAACTATCATTTGGCAGAACAACAAAACTGTAAATGGGTCAATCAGGCTTCACATCAGTGACTTCTTATCATCATGTACATGAGTTTTCTTTGCACCTGTTGTTTGATCAAGCTGACTTTATTATCATTAATATTCAATAGGTGTTTATTAAATAATTGATTAAACTATTCTTTTCTTAATAAATGCATGCAGTAAATTTGCTTTTAATCATGGTATCTAAGCCCTAATAATGTAGAGGGCGTTAAGTTCCAAAGAAAATGATTCACATGGCATAAAATGTTCATAATTGTGTTCCAATATTGTAGATACTTTTACGAACAAGTACATTTATTCGAGTATTGCTAGTTAGAATCAACTAGTACTTGATTAGTAATTAATTAGTGACTTGACAGCCTTAAAAAACAGTTAGTCTTTCTGGCAGCCTCATTTCCATACCTTTAGTTCCTTCAGCATCTGGTTTGATAACAGCAACCGTCTGCTCCATTGGGAAGAAAAACTCTAATTCTTTTTTGGCAGTGTCTTCTGAATCTGAGCCGTGCAAAGAATTAATTGCATCATCCACAGCAAACTTTGCTCGTAAACTGGAAAATAATAATTTAGGTACAGTAAATTTGTACTTACAGGTGCCACATGTGGAGCAGGATCTGCTTACTCTTCAGAAGCACCTGATATCATCCCCAGATTTTGGTGGGGTTCATGTTGCTCAGTCTTTAGTTTTCTAAGTTGTGTTTTGTGTATTGTTGTTTGTCGGTTTGTCTGTTTGTATGTTGGTCTTTTTCTTTTTTAGCCATGACGTTGTCAGTTTATTTTTGACTTTGAATGGCTCTTTGATATCTTTTGCCTCTCTTTTGTAATGCATATATAACTTCACTCATATAAAAATGTGAATCATAAATGTACAATTTATGCAAAGTTGGGCATCAATTGGCATTTTTACAGGATTTCTTACACTTTTGCAATTGTTTTACTTAATTCTTTGCCAAATTATCTGATTTAGAAATGTTAAATAGCATTTGTCATGTTACTGCTTTTACAGGATTTTTTTAATTATTTGGATTTTTTTTTTTTTTCATTTTGCTGATTTTATTTTTATTTTAAGTGACGATGGTGGCCATTTATTTTTTCACCGTTGGGGTCGAAGCCATAATTCAGAACTTTAATCATACATGTAACATGTCTTTGCCAAAGACCAAGTCGGGTAAAAATCAGCCATTTTCATGATTTACCCATATCTTCTGTTTTAGAAACAGCAGTCATGCTTGAAGGTCCTTGCAGGGAAATCAGACAGTAATTCACAAATCCAACTACTTGTCTCCATACAACCTGATAATTCATATTTATACAATTACTATTATTCACCTCTCTGGGGCCTCTTCTTTAGCTTTGTTAACTTCCTTTGGACCTAACATATTCCTCCATCCCTCAACAGCATCGTCTCTGGCCAGGCCAAGGGCCAAAACTGGACCACTGGAATAAAATTAAGTCAATACAATCAGTACTCCCTTTTATTACAATTAAAAACTACTTGTTTTTGTCAAATTTTCAAACAAGTGGTTCATTACAAAGTTAACCTTATTTCCAAATTGCCAGTGTTAACCTTGTATGATATCTAAAACATTTATAACGGAAATGAAATTTAACTTCAGTGTTAAAAAAATTCTATGTACAATATTTAGTATACGAGAAACACTTATGAACCACATCGACAACTACTGAACATCAGATTCCTGACTTAGGACAGGTGCAAACAATTGCAGCGGGTTTAAACGTTTTAATGGTACCAAACCTTCACCCTTATCTCAATGAAATTTGTCTATTAGTTACCTGGACATATTTGTAACTAGTTGGTCAAAGTATTCTTGACCTTCATGTTCTTTGTAAAATTCTTCTGCCATTTCTTTCGTCAATTGCATCTCCTTCTGCATGGCAACTTTGAATCCTGATTCTCGGATCTTAGCAATAATATCCTCTGTAAAACAATGTTAGAAATATTAATGTTCGGGCTGTATAAATATTTCATGTAATTTGTAAAAAGTAAAATTACAAAAATACCGAACTCCAAGGAAAATTCAAAATGGAAAGTCCCTTATCAAATCGCAAAATCAAAAGCTAAAACACATCAAACGAATGGAATACAACTGTCATATTCCTGACTTGGTACAGGCATTTCCTTATGTAGAAAATAGTGGATTAAACCTGGTTTTATAGCTAGCTAAACCTCTCACTTGTATGACAGTCATATAGAATTCCATTATATTGACAACAATGTGTGAGCAAAACACAACAGACGTACTATGACCTATAATTGTTAACTTTTTACACATTGTGACTTGGATGGAGTGTTGTCTCATTGGCACTCATATCGCATTTTCTTATCTCTATAAATGGTAAAAATGTCAGAATTGGGGTACAACATTGTGTAATATTCTTAATCACTATAAAAACAAATAACTATTTAAACAAAGAAAAACAATATGGCACATATACACTCTATAGACAAAGTACATAAGCAAAAATGAAAGATAAGAATAAAACATCATAACATCTAAACACCTGAGAGGTAAATGTATACCCAAATAGTGTTTAGAACATACACTGTATATGTTCTTTTTTCTCACTGAATTTATTTGACATTTTGCTTGAAAATACAGGGGAATACAAATGGATAAACATGCATGCTAAACTCATTGAAATAGCACCAACCGCATTAATAACTGCATATAATTTACCAACTAACAATGCTAGGGGCCATCTTAAACTTGCACTGAGGTGAGAGGTTTTTTGCTCCGTGTTGAAGGCCTCACTGTGAGTTAGAGATGATGAACAACAATAAAAGTGCTGTTCCTTTGCTTTTTGTATGTTTTTTTGCTGTGCTGGTTTTGTGTCATGGATAGATACCCCATATCCTGTGTTTTTCTTTTAAGCTTAAATGCTTAGTTTTAACCAAAATCCAAACAGTCTCTCTCACAGCCACATTGTTATCATATTGTGGGGCTATAATTGATGAAACAAGTCATTTCAATACAACACAAAAGTCAACATGGTTGACTGTTTTTCAGGATCACTCTACTAAAAAAAAAAAAATTGGTCACAGAAAATTAACTTGGTAGATATCTTTAATGTTAATATTGACTGAATATTAAGAAAGGTTTAAAATAAATTACAATAACTTATTTTATCCATAATCCACCTCATTCATTCATTTATGTATTCCAATACCTTTATGAAATTTGATGATGATGGATGGCTGCTTAACGTCCAGCGGCAAATTAATATGCATATTCAGCATGAGAATATGTTAATGTAATATGAATATTTACCCTGCTTTGTAGACCGACACGCTGAGACTGATTTTTAATGTGCTAGTTCACAAGATAACAATCCCCAGGAAGACATGTCACCTTACCCGGACACATTATTTTGACTCTGAAACAACCAGTCTTTGCACTTACTCCTAAATGCCGTGAGCTTAGCAGCAAATACCAATTTTAAAGTCTTTGGGTTCAAACCCACGACCTCCCGCACTCGAAGTGAACATGCTACCACAAGACCACTGAGACGATTATGAAATTTAAGACTTACTAAAATTAGTGGATTTTTTTTTCTGGCATAAAAAAATAAACTTGTAAACTGCCTTGTGGCAAAAAAATTAGGAAAGGTAGGTTGGTAAAATGATTTTGTTTTTCAAAATAGGGAAATGTTCTTGCTTTTAATGGTGCACCACCAAAACTGTCAGGGCTTTAACTGTGATTATATAAAAATGCTTGGACTTAAACAATACTCCACTTGTTGTATTCAAATCAAATACCTTTATGTAGTCTGAAGGCCTCTGGTCTTACTAAAGCAAGCGTTCTCTGGAGTTTAGGTGCTTTACCATCCACATGTGGTACCACAAAATCTGGGAAGAAGAAGGCAAGTTCCCTGAAAAATAAAAACAGCTGAAATTCAAAACTTAATATCATACTTGACCAGTCTCGATGGGTGAAAATATACATAGGCATTTAAATATCGTACCCGTCCAGTCTAGATGGGTGAAAATATATGTAGACATTCAAATACCATACTCATCCATGCCAGATGGTTGAAAATATATGCAGGTGTTCAAATATATAACTCGACCAGTCAAGATGGTTGTAAATATATATAGGTGTTCAAATATATTACTCGATCAGTCAAGATGGTTGAAAATATATATAGGTGTTCAAATATATTACTCGACCAGTCAAGATGGTTGAATTTATATGTAGGTGTTCAAATATATTACTCGAACACTTAAAATGGGTGAAAGTATATGTAGGTGTTAAAATATATAACTCGACCAGTCAAGATGGGTGAAAATATATGTAGGTGTTCAAATATCTTACTCAACCAGTCCAGATGGGTGGAAATATATCAAGGCTTTCAAAAAAATATAACTGTTAATAACAAAAGAGTGGCATTGAGATATATATAATCCAAAAATAAAATTTAAATTGTTTGATGTGGCATACCTACCCACCTAAAAAGCTGCCTACCCAAAAAAAGACACAAATCATTTCAAATTTATTTTTTCCAAGAAATTTTCCTGCTCTCACGTCATTTTCTTGTCTAAAACATGAAACTTGTGTTGTTTGGCAAAAAAAAAAAATAATACCTACCTACCTACAAGTCATTGGTAGGCAACATCAAACAGGGAATTTTTAAGGGTGGCCTTACATCTAAAATTTCACTGAAGCATCTCAATAGTATCTAATATATTGTTACAACAAGTGAAACTGCGAGCTACTGCTCACTGATGATACCCCCGCCGCAAGTGGATACTTTTAATAGTGTAAAAATATGTAAGTGTTACAGGAAGTTGTTGAGTGATGAATCTGAAAACACATCACACGGTATAGCTGACTTATATAAACCCTGAAATCAAATTTCAGAAATCCTTGTATTGTAGTTCCTGAGAAAAATGTGACGAAAATTTTCAACTTGGCTATCATGTGTAAAATGATACAAGTGTTCGGTAAACAGGAAGTTGTTGAGTGATGTATCTGAAAACGCATCACACTGTATAGCTGACTCATATAAACCCTGAAACAAAAGTTCAGAAATCCTTATAATGTAGTTCTTGAGAAAGATGCGACGGAAAATATTCATGGGACGGACTGACTGACAGACAGAGGTAAAACAGTATACCCCCCTTTTTTAAAGCAGGGGTATAATAATTAGATACTGAATACTGAAAGACATTCAACTGGGAATAGTCTATTTGCCAATTTCCATTTTGATTCTGTATTTACACACTTTAAACACAAAACTGTTTCCCTTTGTCAATTGTAGACCTGTTTTATACCGGATAAAATGGCTTCTGTACATGCAAAGCATGATAAGCTGAAACTGATATATAGGCCATCAAAAGTGTTATGTTTAACCCTGCCACATTATGTATGTGCTGGAGCCTGTAATTCAGTGGTTGTCATTTGTTGCTGTATATCGTATTTATTTTTTGTTCATTGTTTTGTACATAAATCAGGCCTTTATTTTTCTTGTTTGAATTGTTTTACATTTGTCATTTTTGGACCTTTTATAGCTGACTATGCGGTACAGGTTTTGCTCATTGTTGAAGTACAGTGACCTATAGTTGTTAACTTCTATGTCATTTGGTCTCTGGTGGAGAGTTTTCTCATTGGCAATTATACCACATCTTCTTATTTTTATATTAGCTTAACAAAAAATTGAATGTTATTAAAAAGGTATGAAAACATAAAGGTTACACACATTATGTGCAGATAAATTTTACTCTTCTGTCTAGCTCTTCATTGTCAATGAAATATATGTCCCTCCTAAGGGAGACAACTAAACTAGAGGCTCTAAAGAGCCTGTGTCGCTCACCTTGGTCTATGTGCATATTAAACAAAGGACACACATGGATTCATGACAAAATTGTGTTTTGGTGATGGTGATGTGTTTGTAGATCTTACTTTACTGAACATTCTTGCTGCTTACAATTATCTCTATCTATAATGAACTTGGCCCAGTAGTTACAGTGGAAAATATTTTGTAAAAATTTACAAAAATTTACAAAATTTATGAAAATTGTAAAACATTTACTATAAAGGGCAATAACTCCTTAAGGGGTCAATTGACAATTTTGGTCATGTTGACTTATTTGTAGATCTTACTTTGCTGAACATTATTGCTGTTTACAGTTTATCTCTATCTATAATAATATTCAAGATAATAACCAAAAACGGCAAAATTTCCTTAAAATTACCAATTCAGGGGCAGCAACCCAACAACGGGTTGTACGATTCATCTGAAAATTTTAAGGCAGATAGATCTTGACCTAATAAACAATTTTACCCCCGTGTCAGATTTGCTCTAAATGCTTTGGTTTCAGAGATATAAGCCAAAATCTACATTTTACCCCTATGTTCTATTTTTAGCCATGGCTGCCATCTTGGTTGGTTGGCCAGGTCACTGGACACATTTTTTAAACTAGATACCCCAATGATGATTGTGGCCAAGTAGTTTCAGAGGAGAAGATTTTTGTAAAAGTTTATGGACGACGGGCGCAGGACAACGGACGACGGACGCCAAGTGATGAGAAAAGCTCACTTGGCCCTTTGGGCCAGGTGAGCTAAAAATGGATCTTTAATTACAGGGTCAATAACGGGAATTTGCAAAAAGCCTATTTGGCATAAACTATTTAAATCATCATACCTTGTAGCCATTTCTGCTGAGCTACTTCCATGGAGTGCATTCATGAAGGTTTGCTGTCCATGTTTGGCTCTCAAACTACAAATAAAAATATAAATATTTACACATACACTCCTGTATTTATTCTATAGCTAAAATAATTTTTTAATGCATTAACAATATTGATGTGAATTGTCCAATGATAGTTAAAGGCTGAAATTTAATTCCAGTGGAAAAAGTTCATCCATTAAAATATCACAATTAATACTGTGGATTAATTATTATTTGTGGAATAACATTTTCATTGATTTCATGGGAACAGGTAAATCACTAATTTAAATGTCCAAGGAAGTACAAATTTTCAATAGGTCTGTAGGAAGGCTTTAGCAAAACCATGAAATCAAATCTCTACGAAAATACAATTTTTCCTCAATCCAGGAAAATCAATGAATTCACAATAATTTGCGAAATATACCAAGGTTTTACAGTAGAGCATACAACAAACCTTTCTGGTTTCTGTGTCTTCGCCTCTTCCACATCAGTTGGTCCAATCAAGTCTCTGAATTCATCTATGATATTTTCACCAGTCTTGCCTTTGGTCAAGGCAAGCACATGACTGGGACCACTTGTCATAAACTTGACTAAGTCTTCAAAGAAGTCCTGTAATTACAGATGTTATAACCTTGTAAAGAAATTCTTGTGGACCAAGAAAAAAGTAATATCAAAGGATAGCAATAATAGTACCTACTTTTGTGGTTTGAAAAATTGACTGATTCAAATTTTTTGTATTTTTATTCCAATGGGTAACAATATCAACTTTTATTGATTCAAATGGTCATGGATGCATAAATTGATGGTTGGCACAAGTTTCATATAAATGCAAAATTTTTATTTTGTTGCATATTTAATTGACAACATAAATGCCATCTCAAAAAGGTAAAAGTTAGGTAAAAAATGTTGGATTATTTTCTTTATACTGTCAAACAAAAATTTCTTTTTTTTAATTTTTGTTTCCTCCAAATAAGGTACATACCTGGTCTTGTAAGTGAGTGTAAAACTGCCTAACTTCATCCTCTGTTAACTTTCTCTCCTCATGTTTCAAGATTTCAATGCCTGCTGCTTGAATCTAATGTAAAAATCAAATTGTTATTAATATAAAACAATTTTTTCATCATTATTGGGATTATATATGACAATATTCAAAGGAAATTGAACATTAGTTTACTGTCAGTGTGCAAGTCACATAGTGATGTTAAAACTGACTCTTTGAGTGTGTATGTGCACATGGTAATTTTAAGACTACTTATCTGTAAATCTGTAACTTACTTTGAATGTGTATGTGTACATGATAATGTTGACTGTACTCATTTGTAAATTATGTAACTTACTTTGAATGTGTATGTGTACATGGTAATGTTATGACTGTACTCATCTGTAAGTCATGTAACTTACTTAGAGCGTGTATATGCACATGGTAATGTTATGATTGTACTCATCTGTAAATCATATAACTTACTTTGCGTGTGTATGTGCAAATGGTAATGTTATGATTGTACTCATCTGTAAGTCATGTAACTTACTTTGAGTGTGTATGTGCAAATGGTAATGTTATGATTGTACTCATCTGTAAATCTACATTACTTACATCTTCAAGTATCTGGTCAACCTTTCCGGCTTCGACAGCATCTGGTTTGATTAAGGCTACAGTGACTTCCTTTACACCTTCTGTAAAACAGGGATAAAACATTAGAATAAAACAAATCATATTTATCGAAATCATTGCTAAATATTTCAAATATGACATATATGAATATTGTTCTCATTTCAATTTCATTTAATTAAAAGAAAACAAACATGAATTGGAATGAAGATAATTTCTACAGAAATGAATCAATTAGAATCAAAATTAGTTATAATACAATATTATACATGTGTAATCACAAGCTATAGATCAGCCAATTTGCTTATGGAAAAGGTTATGTAAAGGAGTAAATAAATTCATAAGTTATAACTGAACTGCTGCATTCCTATTACAATCAGCAGCAGTAAAATACACTAGTCCATGCACAAATTCTACGAGACTAAAATGATAATGCTTAAACAATTACTACCTTAGTATGCCATCATGCATGAAAATTATCCCATTAGTTTGTCAACAGGAATGTAAAATTATCCACTTAGTATGTCAACAGGAATGTAAAACTATCAACTTAGTATGTCAACAGGAATGTAAAATTATCCACTTAGTATGTCAACAGGAATGTAAAATTATCCACTTAGTATGTCAACAGGAATGTAAAACTATCCACTTAGTATGTCAACAGGAATGTAAAATTATCCTCTTAGTATGTCAACAGGAATGTAAAATTATCCCCTTTGTGTGTAAACATGCATGTAAAATTATCCCCTTCGTATGTCATCATGCATGTAAAATCATCCCCTAAGAATGTCAACATGCATTAAAAAATGACCACCTTAAATTTGTATGTCACAATGCATGTAAAACTTTCTCCTAATATATCGCCATGCATGTAAAATTTCCCCCTTAGTTTGTCACCATACATGTTAAATGACCACCTTTGTATGTCATTATGTATGTAAAACTTTTCCCCTAGTGTGTCACCATACATGTATAATAAACCCTTAGTATGTCACCATGCATATTAAATGACCACCATAGTATGTCATCATGCATGTAACATCATTCCCTTAGTATACTTAAGCATACAAAATTATCCATTTAGTATGTCACCATGCATGTAAAATTATCCCTTTAGTATGTCACCATGTATGTAAAAGTATCCAATTAGTATGGTACTAAGCATGTAAAATTATCCCCTTAGTGTGTCATCATACATGTAAAATTATCCCCTTAGTGTGTCATCATACATGTAAAATTATCCCCTTAGTGTGTCATCATACATGTAAAATTATCCCCTTAGTGTGTCATCATACATGTAAAATTATCCCCTTAGTATGTCATCATGTATGAAAAGGTATCCCTTTAATATGTCACCATGCATGTAAAATTATACCTTAGTATGTCAACATGCATGCATATAAAATAATCACTTTAGTATGTCATAATGCATGTAAAATTATCAGGGTAAAAGCAATATATTACTGAACATCCCCACAAATATTATATTGAAATGTTATTCAATTATTTATACAGATAATTACAGATGTAATCTGATGAATATAAATGTATAATATATACTTTTAAAGCTTAAATAGATTAGTCTTTTTCAAGATTATAATAACTGCAGTTAGTCTAATAGATATCCCATGCTTCTTACTGATTTAAATATTCTTGTACATGTTTTGATGTTCTATGATTGGAGTGATTGCTTGTTAAATGTTAACAGCTAAGCAGCTAAAATTAACTACCAATTTTCTTGAAGATTATTAAAAATAAAATCCTATTTTGGCTAATATTTTTTTTAAATGCAAATCAATCAACTAATTTGAACTTTTCTTTTCAAATTTTACACAACTTTTTACAACATTTTACCAAAATAAAAACAATTAAAAAGCCAAACAAGTTATACTGACTACACAAGATGAACCCATAATAAGCACACATTTAAACAACTATTTAAAGGGGAACAATGACACAGTATTTTTAAGAAAAATTTCTGGAACATCGCTAAATATTTAGTTTTTACAATTTAACTGAAATGTACTATATATCAAGATTTGGCAAGTTATTGGAGAGGTGTGGCAAGCATCTTTCTTTTTATATTTTTACACCTGATATTTTTCTGTACATTAAAATAGAATTCATTTCATGCCAGAAATTTGGGTAACACTTATACAATTTTAGTGGTAAATCTCTTCACTTATGGCTTAATACAAATAATTCTGCACATTGAAAATTACAGGAAATCATCAAACATAGACATATTATCGTAATTGCACTACCTTTCAATTGATAGCTACACATGTACAAACGATAGCTACACATGCACAAATGATTGCTACATATGTACAAATGATTGCTTCACATGAACAAATGATAGCCACACATGTACAAGTTATTGCTATACATGTACAAATGATAGCCACACACATACAAATGTTAGCTACATATGTAACAAATAATTGCTACACATGTAAAATCCTTGCTACACCTCTGTTTTATTAGAAAGCTACCCTTAACAAAACCACCATCCTCTCTCTCTTATTTAGCCATATATTATACAGTACAATGTTTAAAGAGTTGGAAAGTACTCAAGATGATGTGCTACGTGCAAAAGAGGGCACTTAGGTCAATTTCAGGTACAAATTCCAAGGGGGTTGAGGGGGCATGCACATCACTTCAACTTTAATGAAAAAAATAAAAGAAAACAGGATTTTCTTTCAATATGTACTTGAAAGCATCATATTTAAAATAGAAATATATCCTTTCCCTTCCTTTATATAAAAGCATCTCTTTAAACTGTATATAAAAATTTACTACTTCTCCCTTTGAGACAAAACACTGGTTAACAATTACATTAAGAGCCAATAGTTAAATGTGCAAACTGCCGTTTTGAAATTGGGGATTAATGATAAAATAATTTGATGGAAATTCATTCAATCTGACATATGCAAATAAATCAGTATATTTTAAACATGTATTTCTCATGTCTTGTTTCACAATTTTACATCATAAAAGAAAGTCACTTCGTGATTTTCAATAATATCATTTGGTTATTTTAAAAAGAGAAAGAATGGTAGCCAGGCTTTAAGTGCATATGTCCTCAAGATGCATCTATCTTAAATCTTCAGTAACATGAGTAATTAACAATAACATGTACTACATCATGCATAAGACAAAAATAAACATCATGTCAACGTTCAAATCTTCAAAGAGTTTTCTCCCCTTGCTATGGAATAAGTTTTCCATAATCCTTGCTTACATCCAAATTATATGCATTCATCTTGCAAAAGATATTAAATCTTAAGTGATAAATTAAAGGCATACCTTGTTATTTATCTTTTTAATTAGTCATAAGTTTGATAAATTTACAAAAAAAAATATATGATAGCTACACATGTACTATTGCCATAGAAATTTTTGTGAAATTAATAATTTCAATTTAAAATATTTGAAAAAAAACAACAAAAAATCAAGTTTTTTCAGGTAAAAAAAGAAACAGTTTTAGACCAAATTTTTTTTTTATAATAACATGATGTTTATTTTAAGCACAGGGAGACTGTTGAATGTACAACCTGATAGTTCTAGAGTGTCACCATAATTAATGATTTCTCCCTTATATCTTAATCGATTCATTTCTGTAAAAATAAGAACAAATAACCAAATGTATACACTATCTATATCTTTCATATTCAAACTTATCTGTTGATCCCTCAAAAATCATCTGTTCATTTTTCTTCCTAGAATTTACTAAATGCTACATAGCTTATGTATTTTGAAATTTTACAGATGAATTTGAACTTGGAAATTTAAACTACATTAATATGCAAACCGTAGCACAAGGACCAATCTATCTGGCCTCATTAGTTTAACAATAACAGTGTGCCTGCATATCAAAACAGGGAAAGGAAAACTATGAATAATACATTTTAAATTTAATTTTACACTTTTTTCTTTTTCTTTGCAATAACTCTAATCAAAATTGTGACTAACAAACTCATGCTTTCAATCAGAAAAAAAGAGATTTATTTTAGTATGTTCAAAATATTTGTTAATAAGGTCACCCTTAACAAATTCTTAGTTTGATGTTGTCTACCCATGCCTTGTAAGGTTGGGTAGGTAGGTAAGGATTTTTTTTGCAAACAGCATAAGTTACATATTTTATACAAGAAACAACATAATTAGGAATAAATCTTTTTAATAAAAACTGAAGCGATTTGTGTCATAATTTTTCTCTCGGGTAGGCTGCTTTTTAGGTGGGACGGTAGGCAACATCAAACAATTCAAATATTGCTACTGCTGTTATTTTGAAAGGTGGATTTATCTGTCACAAAAGGTAAACACACAACAAGGTTAAAATAAAAGTGTTAAAATGAAAACAATGTTTAAAAAATCATTCTGAAAATGGCAACAAAAAGGATTATCTGTAAACAGTTTTTGCATGTTTTACAAAAACACACAACACATAATATTATTTGTAAATACATCTGCATATTCAAACAAACAACTACACTGTGTTTAAAAATACCATTGAAAGTGTTTTATCTTTTTAAAGATCAGCTGGTATACTTTTAACCATTATTCAAATAGTGAGATCAAACAAGTTTCTATTGTCCATTAATGATTGGCAGTTGTTCTAAAACTGTCATGTGACCTATCAGTCCATAAATGATTGGCAGATGTTCTAAAACTGTCATGTGACCTATCAGTCTATAAATGATTGGCAGATGTTCTAAAACTGTCATGTGACCCATCAGTCCATAACTGATTGGCAGATATACTATCAACTGTCATGTGACCCACCAGTCAATTCATTCAGCTTTTTCATCAGAATCTGAAGCATTCTGGGTAACATTTTCAAAAGCATACACCAAAGCGTAGTGATTGGTTAAAATGTATTAAACAATGGAAATTCATTAACTATGTCAGTTTTTTTCTCTTTCATTTTGGGATACAAACAGTAAAATTTCCCATTTAGATTCAGATACAGAGAATAAATAAGACATTAAAAGCTAGTTTAATCTTTCCAAATAAACAAGCAGCCCTGATCAGATAATTAACTTTCAATGCTATTTCTAAATGCAGTGTTACAGTGATACCTTGACTTTGAACTCCTTTAGGAGGATGTCCTGATTTTAAGAAATTAAAAAAAAATTTCATAGAAGTACATTCACTGATCGATAATTGATTTTTCATTTTTATTAAAAAAAAAACAATATTGTTAGTCTTAAAAATTATAAGATCAGCAAAATTTTACAGAAACCTGAGTAACTAAAACATAACTACCCACTTTTCAGTCACAGAACCAAATATTAAATAGTAACTCCAAGAATAATTATGTTGGTCAATATGAAAGTTATATATAAAAGTCGAATTTATATTTAACGGACTTAATACATGTATTTTCTATAAACATATTAAAACTATCTGATAATTATGAAGACTAGGTGCCTTGTCTTCTTGTGCAATGAAAATATATTTATTGTGGAGACCAATAGAAGTTACATTTTCAAAGAAGAAGAAAGAGGCTTGGGAACTCATCCATGTTATTAAATAATGTATCGAATCAACCAAAACCAATAAAAAAATTGAAGCTCTAAAAAAAATATCTTTTCCTCATATAAAACAATGTAAAATTAGTGCCATCTGAACAAATACAACATAATAGGACAACAAGAGCGGTACATTGATGATGATACTGCAAAAAATTACAACATGTTACACCATTTTCAGTATCGCCTTCCTTGTAACGTTAATGTGAACATGGGTCATTATCAAAATACAAATAGTTTAAATATGCTGTGAAAAAATTAACTGTGAAGGCTAATTCTCTGGCTGATATCGTTATAATGATTAATAAGTTTAAACCAATGATCATAGAATTTGAACACGATTTTCAGGGGTAATTCTGGTTTGTAAAGCAGAAAAGGCTAAAATTCAATTCAAAACTTGACTATCAGGATTTTTTTCTGATTTAAGCTGCTCCATAAAATATGAAAAGCTTAATTCCTATATATGTTGATAAAGCAATGTACAGAAAGTTGATTATCATCAATATTTTAATATTTGCACAGAATTATATTTTTGATATGTTTCACAGGATATCTAAACTAGATGCAAATGCACTGTCAACTCTGAAGTGGAATGATGGACAGTATTAAGGGGCCAAAATAAGGGATTATTCAGGATCATACATAAATATAAGGTCAAAGTTAAAAAGGACTGAACACTCATTGGGTAAGGGGATTCAATTTTCATTTAAACATACGCTTTTCCTCTGAAAATAATTTTTGTAATTAAAATAAACATCTGATAGTAATATCATATTCTTAATTCCTATAAACTTAAAGATAAAATATTTTTTAGTTCTTCTAAAATTATCAATAATTTAAATTCAATCTTTGCTACATTGCTAAAAGTATAAAACATCCCACCTAATGGTGCAAATATAATAATGTAATTGAATAAAAACTATAATTAAATATATGCTTTTGTTTAAATTTTTTTACTTTTTCATTAAATAAAACAGCATCAAAATGTATGATACCAAATATTTTTAGGTGTTTTTTTTTAAAATCCAGCCTGCCAAATTTTGAAAGGAGTTACATTGCCTGCAATTTGCAACTTATAAAAAGAAATGAGCTTTGATATTGGGGCCGTGTTGACTTCTCTACACAGCCGTTCTATGCAATGCCTACACATTTGCAGTATATAGATGTAAAAAAGAACATCACAAAAGAGAATCAATCACAAAGTGAAACTAAAGAAAGTATTTATAAACTCTGTTTGAAGAAAATGGTAGATGTTGGAATATTCCAATAATAAAATAGGTAAGACAAGTACCTTCTTCCTCTTCCTCTTCTTCTTTGTCAGTTTCCTTTTCTTTAGCCTCTAATTGAGCAATGAATGGATCCTTTATCTAATACAAATAATGGAAGATTATTCAGGATAAACATGAGATCAAAGTTCAAAAGGACTGATAGTATATTGAAACATGGATGCACATTTTAACAGAGGAGTTTCATGTTGTGTTGTATTTCAACAAACAAGATTCTTAATGGCATAGACAGTTAATCGTAAATCTTCAGGTTTTTTCTGCTAAAAAATGGGGCGACCATCTGAAATAAGTTAACACCTGATGAACAGTCTCAGATTTGCTCACAAAATGACATTTCTAAATAGACCAAATCATATCATAGTATGCTACATATATCTTCAAAGGCATATAGGTGTAATACCACCATTGATTTTCCCCTATTAGTCTTTGTTAAATTTGCACTTTTAAAAAAATTGTGCAGAGTTTATCTTTGTTTCAAATAAAGAAATACTTGGCATGAATATAGTTTTATCCTGTCCAGTACTATAGACAAAATTTCACATAACATTTCATTGCATATAAGAAAATAACCATCACTGGAAGTTAACCAATCAAATTTTAACCCCTTTTTTTCCTGTGTACAAGCTTTAGTAACCATGTAACCTCAAGTTTCCAAAATATTCTATAGAAACACCAAATAAAAAAATAATGGTGCTTTGAAACACCCAAGATGTATGTTTATGACTCATTTTACTGCAATGAAATGTAGGATTAATTTCCTAAAACTGTCAAATTCAAGGGAATATTTTTTTCGACTATTTTTTGTATGCAACCGGATGTGACGTTCTATGATTTGGTGGTATTACACCTTTACTTCAATTGCCTTAAGTTTCATGGAAATATATCTTTCATCTGAGAGGCATTGCAATTATACATTACACAATGCTCGAGACGAATGTCAATAAAATTTTGTCTAAAAGTAGTATTTTAAGGGATTTGACAAAACAAAATCTTAATCTACTTGCTTTATTATATCAATATTTTTTTATAACAAACCTCTTTTCTCTCTGAACCACCATCCAAAACTTTGTGTTCCTGCTTAAGTTGTTCTGTAATAGTTCTAAGAATCTTTGGTGAGTTAGCTCCCCTTACCACTGCTACTAAGCATCCTCCCTAAAATAAATTACAAACTTTGAAGCTATTACACAAATGAACCAGAGTAGTGAATATTGATACATGTACATGTATCTAAGAAATTAACTGTAATTAAGTATTAAACAAATTATGCCATTATTATATGTAACAAAAATATAAAAGAACATACATAAGGCTGTACAGTGACCTACACAAAATGTACAGTTGCTTACAATCACATCATTTCATTAGTTGTCTACTTGACAATCATACCACATATCCTTATTTATATATGTAACTTGCTAACCAATATGTAACTTTACATGCTTAAGCAAAATTCATGGATAAATATAAATGCCCAGCCAGTCAAATTCATGGGTAAATATAAATGCCCAGCTAGTCAAATTCATGGATATATATAAATGCCCTAGCAAACCTATGAAAAATGCATATGCCCAATCATATACATGGGAAAATACATATGCCCTAGCCAAATTCATAGCTGGCGTTTAAGATTCTTTGTATTCTCCATAGTTTTTATGAATCCTTGATCTATGTGGGATCGCACAAGTCACCAATAAAGTCATAAAAATTGTTTATTTTAACCTTAGGCTAAGAATCAACTATACTTACAGCATAAAACAGGAAACAAGGTTCACAGTGACCTCTATACTTGTCTAATGAATCAATCATGTCTGCTTTGGCCTACAATATATTCAATTTAAAAATATATTCATACTTCTAAGTTCTAACCAACAAACTTTGTCTTTCTATATACAACTGCTAATAATTTATAATACATTGCTATGATTTTTTTAATTTTTTGTTTTGGGATTCCTTTATACAACATTTAAAATCTATCATATAAATTTTTTTTAAAGCCGTCAAATTCTTTGCAATAGATACTTCCATAACTGATTAAATTCTTCATATAATATTACTATAAACCCATTTGTTTCCCTTTATTGAATAAATTTCTCACCATTACATTATACATTAAACTGTGCATCTATATATTATAAAACTTAACTGGCCCAAATTTCCACTAATTTCATTCTGGATTTTATTTTATCAAACCTTCAATATGATTACAAATTGACATACTAAAGAAGAAATGTTAAAATGAGATTGATAAGACTATTAAGGGCAAGTGTAAGAGGTAGAAAAACAGTTAGCAGATATATTAAAACTAATTATCGCATGCAATTTAGTTTCCTCGATTTAGTTTAAGTTTAATCAAATAAAAGCACATGCACATTTCAAATTTAAATCTATTTTTAAACATTCATGCAATCATTTTTTATACCTCTAAAATATCATTTTACCTTTTACTTCGAACATATACTTTTGTAACAGTACTATATCATAATTTAAATGATGGATATCATTTGCCTGAAGTTTAGTTACCAAAGAAACCAACGACCAGAAAGTGAGAATGGAACAACAGTAAACAGGCAACAAGTATAAAAGAACCAGAAATGAAGCTCAATTTCTCAAATTTCTATTAATGCAGAAAGATGATAAGAACTAAATCTTATGTTCTAAAGTATTTCATGGTTAAAAATAAAGTCCTTTTGAATGTTCAAAAATGTATGACATCTGGAAAACATTTCTTTTTCAATGAGTCATTGAGATATCTTTAAATATAAAAATATTTGTCCATATATGTTTACACTGCATTTCTTTAAACTACAAAAAAAAAAAATGAAAAGCAAAACTAAATTCTACTATAATTACTTGATTTCTTCTAAGGCATGGTCATGAATGGATACTTAAGATTGGTAATAGAAATGCTGAGACATAAAGCATACTAGAATTTGATGCAGACCACACATTTTATTTACTTCACTTCAGCCGCAAGACTTGGTATCTGTTCAGTCAAAAGAATCATTTCAATATTCTTTAGCTTAGGAAGGTAGGTAAAATGATTTTATTTTTCTGAACATTTTACAAAGACTTTATACATTGTATTGAAAAGTTCTGGACTTCAACAGTTATCAAAATAAAATGTTATATAAACCAAAAATGTCTGGACTTCAAACATTTCTATATAAACCAAAAAAGTCTATACAATTTATTAGAGTAGACATGAATAGTTAGGGTTGGTTACGGGAGGCAGGAAACACAAACTATATTGTTGTATGGCCTTATTACATTGTTGTATGGCCTTATTACATTGTTGTATGGCCTTATCCCCATTGAACAAATGTATTTACTTTTACTACTGTAAATTCAGAAATTATTGCGTGCATTTATTATTGCAATTTTTCACGATTAGACAAAATTGTGAGTTTAATAATTGTGATTAAAATAAAATGTGCATAAAGATCTATGTTTCAGTTATCAAAATTCTTATTATTGCGATACTCACCCAGTCGCATTATTTGCATTAATAAAAACTTCGCAATAATTTCTGAATTAACAGTACTTGATAAAGAATCCTGAAGCTGAAGTGAGGTCAATAATTTGATCCTGCCCTTGCTAACCACAGAAATTAGTCGGACATTGAAAAGGGAGATAACTCATTGAAAATGGAGATAACTAATAGAAATAAGTACTACAATCTACACTAGTCAATCTAGAGTCTCAAACTATGATTATATTGAAGACTAGACTACATTCTCTGACTGTAGATCAGTGTCATGTGACTTACAGTCGCAAACCTTAAAAGGTCATCTCCAAGTTCATTTTTTAATCGGCGGAGATTAGCTACCATACCCGAACATGGACCACACCATTCCTGATATACATCCACCACTAAAGTTTATAACAAAACATATGTTATTGTGGTTAAAATAATGCTTAAAACCAAACTGTTAAAAAAGATGGTTATATACTGTCATCTGGAATCCATCTTGTGTCAATTCTGTTCTAAAAGTTTTTTCTTACAGTGTAAAGGCGAGTTAAATGAAATGAAGCAGAAGTAAAATCGAATTAGGTCTGTCTGAGAGTTCTTAATTTAGACAGTCTAATATGTCCTAATTTCATTTATATTTGTTAGAAAATGACACATGACATTTTCCCAATAACAGCAAATAACACATCGAACTGTAAAAATAAAAAGAGATCATTTCAGCTGATGGCTTTTTCAAACAATACAAGAGTCAAATGAGAAACTTTTATCAGTTATCTAATTCATAACCAAGTTACCAAGGGGTGTTATTTAATGAATTAAATGTAAAGGAAAAAAGATGGAAACTTAGTTAATACAGATAACCGAACAAAAAATTCTCTTTCCAATTTATGATTAATCTTACAGCAAAGAGGATATTTGAACCTATTGACAAATTTTCCTGGCGGCATACATTATCTTCAGATTGTAATTTGTTATAAGAGTTATCTATCATGTGTAAAACATGATAGTTGAATTAAAACAAAAAATGCTTGGAAAAAAACATTTAAAAATGAGATAAGGAAAACTGATTAACAAATCAGTGGTCTTTGCTTTTGCTATATAGTATGGTGGAACATTTCAAAACATAAATTGAAAAAAAGTTCAATCTGAAATGATCTCATTGGCTGAAATAAAATCATGTGACCATTATCATGCCATATGTAATTTCAACATTTAAACAGGAACTGTGCAGTATCTGTTTTTATACAATGATGTAATTTGCATCATATCAGAAACTTTTTGATTACCATCAATAAAATAAGAATGTTATTTATGATTAAGGAATTGCCACAACAAAATTTTGTTTACTTGATCAATAAGTAACCTCTTGATCGTAACCTTTAAAAAATGAATAAACCGTTACACATTCCCAATTAAGGATGCAAGACTAGTTCAAAGTAGTTCTTAAACAAAAATATTTCACATAAAATATTCACAATTCCTGTTGAATATGCATTATTACATGTCAACCATTAATACAATCTGCAACACTCCATTGACATTAACTTACAGTACAGAATTTCAGGAGTGGATCTCCCATTTCATTTTTTATTTTTTTAAAGTTGCTGACCATTCCAGTACAAGGTCCACACCATTCCTGATAAACATCTATCACTAAATTTTAAAACATATTCAATTAAATACATCATTCATTAATTAATTTGCAGTGTTCTCAAAAACTGGCGGTCCTTTTGGTCCTGACCACCAAAAATCAAGTAGGTTCACCAAATTTGAGTGAAGTGGTGGTCCTGATGTCCAAATTCAAGATTGCAGTGGTTTTATTTTTGTTTTAGGTTGTCTGGTATTTAGAGTAGCTCTTTATTACAGTGTACAACCATAATTGATATGGAACCATACACTAATCATTATTATACAAATTGGCCTAATATTATTTACATACCTACTTGTAAAGAAATTATTGGTAACAAAAATTTTTACTAGGACCATCAGATTGGTAGTCTTGGTAGATCTAATCATCGGCAGACTAAACAAAGTTTTTGAGAACCCAAAATTTGTATTTAGTGGTTTCAATTCTTCAAAGGTTCAAAAATTTTCTCCTGCTGAAATACAGTATGAGTATCTAGCACAGGAGATCAAGCCCCTGAATTGATCACTGGCTTATTTTCACAATCTCTTATAAATATCAAATAAATCTTTCTTAGTGTTGAAATTTTTTCAGTCCAAACAGAAAAATCCTATCCTCAAGTGTTAAACAGTTGTTTCATTCAAAACAAAAGTTTGATTGATTGATTAGTGTTTAACACCACTTTCAGCACTATTGAGCTATTTCCTGGTGGTCAGTTTTTATTGGTCATGTTGGTGAGGAATCCGGAGTGCCTGGAGAGAGACTTATAATTTAATCATTCATTTATGTCAATTTAAATGGTACTCAATAACACTGAGAATAAATTGAAAACCAGGGATTACTCTTATAAAATGCTGGTTTTTGAGAAAGGGCAAATAACTCTTATAAAATGCTGATTTTCGTGAAATGGGAATAACTCTTATAAAAAGCTAACTACCATTCAATCCCTCTTTAGATAGTAATTCCTCCCATTCTTCTTGTGACTCTATCTGCATCTGCAGTTGAATCTCTGCCTTTCTCCTTCCTGCCATTTTGTCTTTTTTCTTATCAGCCTTCAAAATTTGATAAAAAATTAATTGCTTTTAAAAATACAATTTGTATATTTGCCTTTTATAACACTGTTACTGCAAACTCATTCACAAATAAAGGCACAAAAACACAGATTTATTGACAATACTTGTAACTTATTTTCTATTTTATCCTTTGGAATATTTACTTGGTAAAATCCTGAAACAAAAAGAACAATTAATTAATACATGTAATAAGTACTTATAAAAAGACAATTTCATCACTTAAGCTTCCATTGTCCAAAAACACTTCTGAGAAAATATCTCATCCACACGTACTAGAAATGTTCATCATTGTATCCTTCTGCATTTTTTATGTTAACTTTGCTGTGAGAAAATTCAAGGTCATCCATACAAGTACAAAAATGTAGTATTTTTATTCACACCTTAAATTTATTTTCCAAACCCTTGATTAGGTCTAAGGAGTTCCTGAATTTCAATTAATTATTCAATACTGATATGATTTAATTAAAAGATTTTCGCTTATTTGCATTGGATTGATGAAAACACCTGATATTTATCTTAACCCTATAAGCTACACACACAGAAAAAATTCTATTGCCCTTTTTCTAGGTTAGCTTTTTTAATCTCTTAAAACTCTTAAGGATGTACTTAGGTCAGGTTTAGGAATTTTTATCAGATGTTCAGACTCCTTGGTTTTTTTCCTACGATACAGGGTAAATTATTTTGCCTCATAACACCCGTTTTTCTTTTCTTAAAAGACTTCAATAGCTCAAAAAGGTCATTTACCAAAATTTAAGCAGATTCTAGAAAGATTGGTTTTCCATTATCTTGAAAAGAGATATTTACTACAGAATTCGATTAATTTTTTTAACCCTAAACTGTAGGAGTTGCACAATGGACTTATAAGATAACGACTCTGAGAAAGATTCATTAAATTATGACAAGTGGTTTAGGAGGAGTTGTTGATGCATTATGGGTATAAAGCAAAGGCAAAGTTCATGTTTGAAGGAAAATGTGTGCTCATTGTTGAAGGCCGTACGGTGACCTATAGTTGTTAATTTCTGTGTCATTTGGTCTCTTGTGGAGAGTTGTCTCATTGGCAATCATACCACATCTTCTTTTTTATATAATAAATACAAATGTAAAATCATTTCACATACAAACCTACATACTCAAATCATTTGAAATAAATGAAAAAAAAAGGGAAACAAAAAATTTAAAGAAACAATGACCTGATCACTTTATTTACTACAGATAGAGTGGTGTCAAAAATTAAGGATTTACTCAATTATACAACAATTATAAGACCACTTCTAAAAAATTTTTTTTTTTGGAAAATCAAAAGGTTCCCTTTCAAATTCATACTTTTGCGTGCAAAGAGACAATAATTATGCATATATATATGATGAAAAACAGTGTAAAAACTCAAATCAAAATTTTAAATAGTTCTTTTTGTAAATTCAATTCAGCTATTCCTCATTATACATGCATCACAACAGTAAAATAGATATTTTTGTATATTGCATTGTGCTCACAGAAATGATATTGTGATTACATTTTAATATTGTGCAAGAAATTGTCACACGTTTATCTAAACGAAACGAAAAGTGTGAACAACTTTCATGCAGAATTTGTACAGGTCATATTTTTTCATGCAGTGTATCAGATACAGCTAAGCTCACCACATTAGCATTGTCACTTGTATCAGCAGACAATGTTTCCAAGTTGCTTTCTGCTTTTTGCCGCATTTTAAAAACTAGAAAAATATCTGCATGAAAGAATTTTTATGATTTTTTTTTCATTAAAAAAAAAATAAACACTGATGTAAATATAAACATCAAATTTACCAATATATCTATCTAAGTAATGCATTTTTCAGTATTTTTTTGATATTCAATTTTTGTGGTTTACTTTCTAAAAATAATTTTTGTGATTTCTAGCATGTGAAAATAATATTCTTTGTGGGATAAAATTTTCATTGCAGTTTTAATTTTCTGAATAATGTCTACAATATTGCCAAATCAATGAAATTAATAACACCAAAAAGCATTTCTGCTTTAACAAAAAGATATATGCTGAAAACAGAATCTACATCAAAATCATACATTGCAACCAGGTTAGTTTTCTAGTTGGCAATCAAACCAGATCTCCTTATTTTTTTTATACATTTTAGCAATAAATGCTCATTGTTCATGACTTTGTGTTTCAGAAAGTATCTAAAGCAAGAAGACTTTCTACCAACTGTCAGCACATCTGAACAGCAATGAATTATATTTATATATTGCTTATTAAAGGGAAAAGAATTAACATTTTTTCATCTTTAGGACACAACCTGCCACAATATGAAAGATTAACATACATTGTAAGCACTGTGGACATTTTCAGCTAAAATTTAGTAAGCTGGGCTATTGCTAATCTTACAGTCTGTTTCACTTTACAGGATTTTTGTCTCATACACATTTTGACAATGCAGTGTTCTCTGCTTCCCAGGGCCTTATACATTGTAGCACCATGGTGCTATCTGAATAAATTTTATAGTAGAATGAATGAAATTGGGGGGCTATAATTTTAGGGACACTGCTATATATTCTAAAATACAGCAATGTATTTCCAACAAATATCTTTTCTTCTCAATAAATATATACTTTCTTATGTACAATGTATGATTTTACTTTAGTCCAATCAAGTCAGGGGTTTTCTGAATTCAATAATAAATTGAAAAAGGACATTATTCATGTTCATGATGTTATTATGGTTCCAATTAAAATAATAAAATTAACTTCTCAAACTGTCATAGTATAATACAAAATTGTATAAAATAATATGTGGTTATACATGTTATACAAGAAAATTTCACATGTGGTTGATAATCGTCTTTTTTTTTATTTTCCTCTAACTTTACTAAAATATTGAATAAAATTAATATATAACATGTATGAAGAAAAAAATAATTTTTCACAAAAAAAAATCTTTTTAGACCAAATATTGACAAAACAGGCAATTTTAACCACATAAGTATTTTGACTGATCACCTTTATGACTAAATAGAAAAAAAACAAAGAATGCTGTAGAATTCAACTATAAACTGTTCGTATTTACCATAGCTTTTTCTTTTTATTAAAAAAATATGTAAACATATGAAATTACAAATGTGTAATGTTTATATAATAGTGGTTCACTGACTGAAGTTGAATTTCATTTACATACAGAGAGGGCATCAGTAGGGTACCCCCCTTCTTGTCTTGGGTCACTTTTCAGCAATTTATAAAATAGTAAATTGATCCGATTCCCAGTTTTGAACATTTAGTAAGTAAACAAGTCCAAGCCACACAGTCCAAATCACTTTACTCGTCCAGTGAGCATGGTGAGAGCTATTTACTAGTTCAGTCAATTTTTAACTGTTACACTAACTTAACAATTCAATACATGTTAGAACAATAAACAAACATGACAAAGGTCAAAGCTAACATTATTATAGAAATACAGTTTGGCTTTCGTTTATTTTCTGAGTGCAGTTGTTGATGATTTTTTTAGTTTAACGCCACTTTCAGCGCTATTGCTATTTCGTGGCAGCAAGTTTTAATTGGCGAAGGAAACCAGAGAGCCCTGGAGAGAACCAAATGCACTTAAAACTTCAGCAAGAAAATTGGCAATCCTAGTCAATTAATTAATATTGGAGTCAACCGCACCTGCCACATGCAGGATTTGAACTGATGACCTCTGTGTTGATAGGCTAGTGACCCAGTAGAAGAACCACTTAGACCACTTGGCCACCGAGGCCCCTACACTCTACAGTGCAGTTGTATTTGACAACCATGCACCTACTGCAATATTTTGAGTTGTCAAAATATCTCATACACACTTGTTAACTTGAAAAACGATCTTTCTCTTAGTCTTACATACTTATATTTATAAGAGATGACCCAGTGGTGTCTGTATGCTACACCTTGGGTTGCTTGCTTGTGTCAACATGTAAGGAATGAGTAAGCGACAACCCGCTCGTTCTATTTCTTTAATTATATGCAATTTTCTTGTTTTTAACACACTAAATAAAATTTAGTGTATATTTCGTTAAATTTTCTTTAACAAGAGAGTACAAACCTATTCGCAAAGGACTCTGTATTCAAACCTGACAGCACACTGCAAAGTGTTTATCGTTGCTGGGAGAAAACTATAAAACTACTTCCGGTGAAATTTCATTGGCTAACTTAAGCTAGGGAGTTATCTACCCGTTACGCGCGGGAAGGGTAGCTGATTTAAATTTTCAAGTAACGGCATTTTCTTTGGAACTGAGTGTTATTTCTCACAGGCGTTTATTTTTCCTCTATTGAACTAACGTCAACGCTATCTTGAATCTTAAAAGAAATATGAGATTACATATTAAAAAATTCTCGAGGATTTTGATAGATTTTAATCTGAGGCTACTATAACCAGAGACACATATGTCTCTGATATAACCTGGGACTATTATAAATTTTGTACTATAGTTAGTATATTAGTCCGAGTTATAACTGTGCTATATTATGTCCCAGATTTAATTGGCTATTAAATTTAGACATTAAAATTCTTAAAAACTCTGTTAATACGTGCGGGAATTTGTGCTCTTTTTTTTTAATTCTTTCCGACCGTGATTTTATACCCTGTCTATGAATATATATCTTATACGTACCGTGATAGCACCATTTCTTCTAATATAAAGAAATGCGACACTTTTTGATATTAAACAGTGATTTCTTGATATTAGAAAATGATTTCTTAATATTAGAAAATCATTTTTTAATATTAGAAAATCATTTTCTAATATAAGAAAATCATTTTCTAATATTAGAAATTCATTTTCTAATATTAGAAATTTTGATTTTTTAATATTAGAAATTGATTTTCTAATATTAGAAATTCATTTTCTAATATTAGAAATTCATTTTCTAATATTAGAAATTCATTTTCTAATATTATAAATTCATTTTCTAATATTAAGAAATAGTGTTTTTCTTTTTTAATATTAAAAAATCATTTTCTTATATTAGAAAATGATTTTCTTATATTAGAAAATGATTTTTTAATATTAAAAAATGATTTTCTTATATACGAAAATGATTTTCTAATATAAAAAAATGATTTTCTAATATAAGAAAATGATTTTCTAATATAAGAAAATGATTTTCTAATATAAGAAAATGATTTTCTAATATTAGAAAATAGCTCTTTTTGTCCACTTTGGCTTGCCATACATATGCAGAGAGATATGTACGAGGGGGTGGACAGGGAGAGAGGGGTGGGAGAAAGGAGAGAAGGGGGATAGAAAGGAGATAATGGGCTGAGGAGACTGAAAGGGATAGAAATGGAGACAAAACTGTATATAAAAAAATAATAAAAGTGAGCCGTAAAACAATTGTTTCATTAAATTAGTTAATAAAAAGCTTCAAGAAAGTGCTAATAAATGTCATAGTAATGAAACGACCTCATAAATACTCCGAGTGTCGTCACTAATTCATTACGGGCACGCATACTGTCACGTCATTTTATCATGGTACATTGCGCGGAAATACTGGGGATCGGTCATAGTGACGACATCAAACGATCTATCACTCAACTTAAAGATATTGAAAAGTTTTAAGAACAATGTTCAGCAGCAAGCAAAAAAACTTGCTTAGTCTTAAAATAAATTGATTACAAGGGCCCTGTGGTATGCCAGCCTGTAAAAAAATGAAATCAATTCAGATGCTACGAGAGAATTGTTGGCTTGCAGTCCCTATATATTGGAACAACTGTCTGGTATCAAATCAGATTACTTGAGAAGAGTTGATATTAATTCAGTGCTTACTTTGGTAAATGAAAAATTACATAGCATGTCAAAGTTGAGACTACGGATAGAGACTCCGTCAGTTCTTGACTGCGATAGGGATTTCGTAAGAGATATCATTGAATGTATTAAGAAAGTTTCACTCTGTGGGTTCCACTATTTTACGTCAAAAGAAAAAATCTGGATTTGAGGTACCAAAGTAATATTTATCTATTGAACAATTTCCATGGTTTAAACGTGAAAAACATCCTGCTTTTACAACAGAAAACATGAAGATTATGTTCGAGCTTAGAAAGACATATGGCGTTCATCAGCGCTGTGTTCGGTCAGACACAACAAAATTCAATACTGGGACTCTCCCAATGAACATGTACCAAAACAACATTCCACCAAAATGTTCTCCGATCAAGTTGCTTGTTTCTGATGTTCATGAAGTTCCAACCGGAGAGGTAGTACATAAGACACCAACAAACTAAGAACGACAGTCGGATGATGACCAGGTTGGAGACGTTGTTTATGAAAAAAAATGATTTGTTGGCGATCATGATGGATGATCAGTTGTGTATAGGAAAAGTCACAGCTCGTGTCTTTGACACCTCAACATTTTGCAAAGTTATGTTGTATAAAGAAGGAAGCGGGCTTAATTTTCACAAAGACACATTGAGAGACAAGAAAAAACAAACGTGGTGCAATTACACCGATTTGGAAGAAATTGAACCACCTTTGTTTTTTCTTGTTGTTTACACTTAAGACGAAGACATTTACAACAGACTTACAAATTCAATGCAAACAGACAGAAACATCTTTTTTATTTATATTGTGGCATAGATCAAACTTATTCGTTCAGTGTATATTTACTTGATTTTGTGTATTGTCTTTTTGATCGAGTTAAGCCATTTCAATTGATATTTCATTGTGTGTCTTTTTATGCTGTAATGTTATACCACTGTTTCAGGTTAGGGCGAAGGTTGGCGCCTGTTAAAACGTTTAAACCCGCTGCATTTTTATGCACCTGTCCTAAGTCAGGAGGGTGTTGTTCAGTGGTTGTCGTTTGTTGGTGCGGTTCATAAGTGTTTCTCGTTTCTTATATTGATTAGACCGTTGGTTTTCCTGTTTGAATTGTTTCACACTAGTCATTTTGGGGACCTTTATAGCTTGCTGTTCGGTGTGAGCCAAGGCTCCGTGTTGAAGGCCGTACTTTGACCTATAATTGTTTACTGTTTACACATTGTGACTTGGATGGATAGTTGTCTCATTGGAACTCATACCACAAGTCATCTTCTTATTCATATTAACAGTCAGTGAAAAGGTTAATGAGGTTCTTGGAGCAGAAGAAATAACACTTCTCTCTTGTGAAAGGACCATAAAGAGCCATAAAAAAACGAGACATTTGATCGATTTCAATCAAAATGTTAGTTTTTCAACTGAGTAAAATAGCAAAAATACCGAACATCAAAAGAAAATTCAAAACGGAAAGTCCTTTATTAAATGTCAAAAATCAAAAGTTCAAACACATCAAACGAATGGAAAACAACTGTCATATTCCTGACTTGGTACAGGCATTTCCTCATGTAGAAAATGGTGGATTAATCCTGGTTTTATAGATAGCTAAACCTTTCACGTATATGACAGTCGCGTAGAATTCTGTTGACATTATAATGTGTGTGAGCAATTCAAACAGACATAATAGGTAAAATGGTCAAAAATGTGTCTCTGCATGGTAGCACTGAGCTTATATATATATATGTTACAGGCATTTTGTAAATTTAGGCATTTGTAAATTTACTGAATTTTCAGGCAATTTATGAAATACCTAAAATAATAATAGGTAATAGAATACTGATTATAGAACAGAACGATGTACAGAATGAAGAAATCGCCAAAATACACGAAAATTTAACAAAACAGTCATTATCATGAGAATTTTACGGATTAAGTGTTATTTTTAAAGATAAAGAAAAATGCCACAAAAATTTTAAAAAATACAGAAATTCAGTACCCCCATCCAGACCCTCCTATATAGTCATTTTGTAAACGATGACTGAAATTTCAGTTAAAACAAATTGCGTGTTTAGTTTCAGGTTATTTGTAGTAAAAGGATATCATTGGGATACATATGACCAAAAACACAATTTTGTAAAGAAAATAACTAATGGTTCAGTAAAATTAAGTTTATTCTTCAAATACCAGCTGGGAAAGTTTGTATGTCTATGATTAGGCTTAGTTGTTTTTTTTTGTGAAACTACATTTAGTATGTCACAACTTTTTTTTGTATTCCAGATGGTTATTTTATTATTTCTTGTCATGATGTCAAAAAGTTCTTACAATAGAAAAAAATTTACAAACAAATTTAAAAAGAAATCTAGATTCAAAATCGAAGTGTGTGTTATGAATCAGAGAAAAAAAGGATGTAACACGAGGCATCAGATTCAATATCCCCGTCAGAAAGAATGCGTATTTATACATTATGCGCAGACAAAGGAATTCCCCTTTATAGTATGGGTTTCACCATACAAGAATGTGTTCGATTGTGGTGCAATGATATGACTAGCTTCATCTTCAATGCCTCAAGGTAATTCTTGAATCTTTAATACAATCTGATAAATTAAAATCTCGTAATTCGACCAAGAAGATATGAATCAGGGTAACAAACAAAAAATGAGAGAATCGCAAAAACTCCATTGGAAGCGAGACCAGGTGCATCGACAGGATAAGCGTCTCCTGATATGCATGCATCGCCAGTCATGCGAAGATCGGTTTCAACCTCTTAAATGCTCTGATAAACCCTGAAAAGATGTGTCAACCTAATCATGAGAATGTGTCTTTGAATCTTTTGGGAACACATGAGAAAGAAGATGTTTATGTGTTTGTTGTTTGCAAAACCCCATGTTTTCGTACATTGAGTGTTTTATCAGAAAATGTATTGACAGAGATAAATGTGTCATGGCCCGGGTTTCACCAAAGTGGTTGTAGTTCTCAGACCAGAATTAACGGCAAACAATGTATTTATAAAAAATCAGGATAGATATATCACAGTTCATGCCATCCAAACATTATATGAAATAGCAAATAACTGCTGTGTTAAGTGGACGGAATTTCAAATAATTCAGAAGAATTAATTTTTAATTATCTAGACTCTTAAAATGCAAGCATTAAAATTCAGTTATTATTATAGATAGACTGATTTGTTGTTCAATACTTGCAGCGGCTCAGTTTTTTTTTAAATTTCATTGTATAATATAATTCCAGGCATATATGCCTGAAAAACTACTCCGTATATATATAATGCCTGAATCTGACAGGCACTGTTTTACAACATGCATAAATTTTGAAAATGCCTGTATCTTATATATATGTCGCATA